GCGGCGCGCCTGGCCACAGGGGGAGTCTCCCTGGTGGTCGGGCGCATTGAGGCGCTGGGCTTACGGGTGGCCCTAGATAAGACGGAGGCCCTGTTATTTCATGGGCCCCGTCGTGGTCCACCCCCTGGCGCCTCCATCGTGGTCAACTCGGTCCTCGTACCGGTTCGGGCCCAGATGAAATATCTGGGCCTGATCCTCGACGGGAGGTGGCTCTTCGACGAGCACTTCCGACAGCTTGCTCCAAAGCTGGTCGGCGCTGCGTCTGCCCTAGGGCGACTTTTGCCCAATATGGGTGGACCCAGCGTCGCGACAAGACGGCTGTACACGGGGGTTGTCCGGTCAATGGCACTGTACGGTGCACCGGTGTGGGCGGCGGCTCTGACCGCCCAGAATAGGGTACGCCTCTGGCGCCCTCAGAGGGTAATGGCGGTCAGAGCCATACGCGGTTACCGCACCGTTTCGACGGAGGTGGCGTGCGCGTTGGCCGGAACTCCCCCGTGGGATTTGGAGGCGGAAGTGCTCGCCCAAGTTTATCGGCGAGTGGCTGACTACCGGGCGGAGAGCGGATTTCGCCCTCCGCCCGAGGATGTGCGCGAGTGGCGCGAAGCCGCTCGCCGAGCCACGATGGCTCGTTGGTCGTTCCGGCTGGAGACTCCACGCGCTGGCTTCGCCGCCGTGGAGGCTCTCCAGCCGGTCATCGCCGAGTGGGCAGGGCGGCAGCACGGGACCCTTTCCTTCCGACTGACGCAGGTGCTTTCCGGGCACGGTTGCTTCGGAAAGTACCTGCACACGGTCGCTAGGAGGGAACTGAGTCCCGCCTGCCACCACTGCGACTGCAGTGAGGACTCGGCCCAGCACACGCTGGCGGTCTGCCCCGCATGGGCGGCGCAGCGCCGGGCCCTCACTGCAGTCATCGGAGTGGATCTCTCGCTACCGGCCGTAGTACGCTCCATGGCCGGTAGCGACAGTTGTTTTACCGCGGTCGCAACCTTCTGCGAGGTAGTAATCTCGCGGAAGGAGGCGGCGGAGAGGGCCCGGGAGGACGACCTGCACTCGGACCCGATCCGCCGCCGGCGAACCGGGCGGCGGAGGCCCGCCTACCACAGCCTCATGCCGCCCTGAGTGTGGCCGCGGGTGGACGGGGTGGGTTTCCCCTCCACCCGCATTAGTTGGCCAGCCGCGAGGGGGCGGCGTCCGCGTGTGCCGGACGTCGCCTAAAGAGAGGAACATCTACATTGAGACGGAGCCCGCACCAGGAGCGGGCTGGCGCTAGGAGGGGTCCGGATGTCTTAACAACAGCTGTTCCCGGATCCCTCCTGTTACAGGCGCAGAGTGGCACACCGTGTGGTTTTAGTCGGTCCGAGTCCGACACACCACCCCGCCGCAAACCCCGGAGGGGTGACGGTCCGAGGGGATTTCCACACGTTAAAAAAAAAAAAAAAAAAAAAAGGGTTTGTGTCAAGTTTTCCTTCTCTTAGCAGTGCTATTGCCTGAGTAGTTTTTCACTAAGTCGTCTCTTACGATACCCAAGGGATGAATAGGGGTGGTGACACTCAGTATTCTTAATCCGTCACCACACGGAGAGCTCTTGCTGTAAAACACTATGTTGAAATATACTATAGAACACCTATTCTGACATGCAGAAACCTTGGCACAATGAAGAGGTTTTCATTACAACAGGGATATTTCCGTACGCCAAAAATGTTATGCACAGTTAAAACTTCTATTAGTTAGTAATTAGGAATAGTGGAAACGGCTCATTTATTAAACACTTGGCACTAGAAGCGTCGCCATTACTACGACTTTCAAATGCCCACTGGCGATGACAATAGTGTATTTAGCAGCTTGAGAGATACACAGTAATAATCTGGTATAAATGATGATGAATAATCTATACTAATATTATAAAGCTGAAGAGTTTGTTTGTTTGTTTGAACGCACTAATCTCAGGAACTACTGGTCCGATTTGAAAAATTCTTTCAGTGTTAGATAGCCCATTTATCGAGGAAGGCTATAGGCTATATATCCTCACGCTAAGACCAATAGAAGCGAAACACCAATGAAGAATGTTTCAAAAACGGAGAAAATTTATTACTATTGAGAGACGCAGACGAAGTTGCGCGGGTCAGCTAGTAATGTATAAATAACATGAAGTACTAGATATTGTAACATACTTTGACCACCGAATCGAAAGTACAATTTCTTATTTAAATTAAAGAACATTATCAGTAAACGTAAGAGATGAGACGACCGGATGGCGTAGTGGTTTATGAACGGACTGCTATTCCAAAGGTCGTGGGTTCGATTCCCGCTCAAGTCAAACATTTGTGTGCATGAACATTTAATGTTTGATTTGGTCTGGGTGTTTCTATGTATAATAAGTATGTATTTACAAAAAAAAAGTATATATATATTTATATCAGCTGTCTAGTAGCCATAGTACAAGCTCTGCTTAGTTTGGGACTAGATGGTGATGTGTGAATGTGGTAGAATATTATTATTATTATATGTGTATCCGTAATAGATAGAATTACCGCATCTACAAAACTCCAAAATCACTTGGATGAGATTGAAGCATGGCTGAAAAAATGGAGAATTAAAGTTAGTGCTGCTAAGTCAATCCACATTACCTTCAGTCTCAGAAGAGAAGACTGCCCACCTGTGAAACTTGGCGATGAAATTCTGCCACAGAAAAATGTCGTAAAGTACCTAGGTATGCACATCGATAGAAGACTTACCTGGCGTGAACATATTAAAACCAAAAGAGACCAGGCGAAAAGAAAACTCAAAGACATGCACTGGCTTATAGGCAGACAGTCGTCACTTAGCTTGGAAAATAAACTCCTTATCTATAAATCCATCCTGAAACCTATCTGGACGTATGGGATAGAGCTTTGGGAATCAGCAAGCCATTCCAATATTGAAATACTGCAACGCTTCCAAAATAAAGCATTGAAAAATCTAAGTGGTGCACCTTGGTACACAAGGAATACTGAAGTGCATGAGTATTTACAATTACCAACAGTTAAGGAGGTTATAGAAAAGTCCTACAAAAACTATAAAGAAAGACTCCAACAACACAAAAATGAACTAGCTGTGACACTACTAGAGTCCTCTGAGTCTACATATAGACTCAAAAGAAAGCGAATAGCGTCAGTATAATTCTGACAAATATGGAGATGACACATCACAGGATGTGAAGAATCTCGAACTGACTCCACGACGTTCAAATCTGATTAAAGCTCAAAGGGCTGATTGCAGATATAAAAAAGAAAAAAAAAAAAATTGTATCCGTTCCGTCTCACTAGCATAATAAATGTCAGTGGCGAACGTATGTGGATGTTGCTACAACTACCTTTTTGTCTGCTATTCAGTAAATATACCTATGTTATAATAAAGGCTTTTATTATATTCTCGAGCTTCTCAAGAATATGTATTTTGCATTCTCGTACCTCTAAAGATATGTGAAAATATTGGATTTCAGTCAAATCAATCAAATAAGTAGTGCATTGTGTTTGCAAACACTCATTTGCACTATTAATAATCGCGAGTAGTTGGCTAATCGTAAAGAATTTGGCCGCACTAACCGTTATTCGGTCAAGAGTACATTGTTACTCTAGTATTGAATTTATTGGACAAATTGAGCTTTCATTGCCTCATTTCATTGCCCATCTCATGGTAAGCAGTCACCATCCTAACTTTATGTTATAAAATGTGAAGTTGTTTGTTTGCTACGTTTTCTCGTCTTAACTACTCCATCGATAAATATGGAATTTAATATACACGTTTGCCTATACCTGTAGGATATATTTTCTATAGTTAACCTTATCCTCCACTTCAACTGAAATACAATATTATGAAAATAATACTGGTTTATTAGCAGTGGATACTTAGTGAGTTACATACATACATGCCTATATTTAAGGAGTTGACAGAGACGTATAAAATGCTCACATTTCACTAACTATAAATTAGTCATATTTTGCAAAATAGGTATTAAGCCTAATATTGTCTTAAGGAATAACTGTAAACTTGTGATGGAAATTATTGCTATTTTTAAATCATAATATAATGATAAAATGATTTGTTTAGACACTGCGATTACACCTGTGATAAATCACTACTGAGGTTTGGTCATAAACAAACACAAATGCCACCAAAAACTTAGGCAAAGAAAAAAACATTTTTATTATTAGACTACAACCCTTCTTTTTATTTTATTTATATCTTTATAATCATAATATCATATGACCTTTATAACCATTATCGTAAATGGCAGTGGTTTTCCTACATTCGTTACATACTCGTATGTGATCATATGATTTATAAATCATACTTTTAATTTAAACAGGTGAATGTGACTTTATTCCATCCCTACTGTGAACTTACAAACACACATGAAACGCACACAAAGAATACCCAGACTTATAAAAAAATTGTGGATCACACAACACTCAGGGCAGTAGGTGAGCACTTAAAGCACTGTACGCCACCCGTGCAGTCCCCTTGTAAATACCATGCCACGAATTCGAACAGTACCCGTTTCCGTAACAAGAGGCTCGTGGCTAAGTGGTAACCGAGTAGGTGCTGCAAAGTTAAGCAATCCTAGCCAGGTCAGTCTATGGATGGGTGGCCATTCTTAACACATTGAGACCCCTCCGTGCTTCGGGGACCACGTTAAGTCGTCGGTTCCGGTTGCTATACGAAGATCTGTGGTAATCGTTAAAGTGTGCCAACAGTCTTTCTACAGAACTTCGATATCGCTTAGTACTTGGGTTGTGGAGGTCTAATGCAAGTCGCTCCTCGTAGAAAATCGAAGTCCAGCCGTATCGAAGTAGACTTAAAGCCGACCCTAACCAAGTGTGGGAAAAAGCTTCGGAGAAAGAGACCCTGTTGTCGTAACATATTATATATTATAAATATTATCTAGACTATTTTGAAGTAGGTAGTTCCTTAAGACACAATGCCTTATCTCCCATTTGTAAGTATTTCAAACACACCTGTAAATATGAACATTTTTCTTCTGACCAACCCTGTAGATACGGTCTTGTGCCTGTTCTTCAAGCTGAGGGTTCCAGTGAGGGTCAAGCAGCAGCAGGTGATTCGCACCACATAAGTTGAGGCCCACGCCGCCCGCGCATAGAGAGAGTAGCATTACCTACATAACATAAAATGAGTTTTTGTTTTTTTACATTTTTAAGTTTGCACCGATTAAATTATTTGTATGTAACAAAAATGGTGGTGTTTGAAAAATTTATGTTTCTCTAATCAACTTAAAAATGGATCTAGTTTCTAAATTCGGTTCTATTTATTTATGTTTGTTACCTGAGAATTCCATTATTAATTAACCGAATTAAACCAAATTAAATAATAATAATTATTTATTTATACAAAGAGTACATCATCATCATCAACAGCCTATGATAGTCCACTGCTGGACATAGGCCTCTCCTCTGAAAGGAGGATTTGGTCTACTATACCACGCTGGCCAGACGGGTTGGTATAGAGTTTGTTTCAAGTTTTCCTTCTCCTTGCAGTGCCGTTGTCTTGCGTAGTTTTCTCCCTTAGTCGACTTTTACGACACCCACGGGATGAATAGGGGTGGTGACATTACGTATTCTTAATCCGTTAATTATTTATAATAAATGGTTCTCTAAAATACTATTTTGATACTCCGGAAGAATATCCTTCTGAACAATTAGATTATTTAGAGTACGTAATATTTTAATCAGGCTAATTGACGTTCGAATAGCTTAGCTCGACCTGTCTTTAAAACCCATGTATGTTTTAGGTAGATACACTTTGCTGCGTGGTGTGTGCACGTACCTTAACATCGGAGTTGTGATCGTTGAGCGCGTTGATGAGCGGCGGGCGCGCGGGCACGGGCACGCTGCCGCTCAGCGTGACGCTGCGCACGCGCACCTTCCGCAGCTCCGCCTCCACCAGCCGCAGCACCGACGTCCACTGCGACACCACCACGGCCTTGTCACCTGGACACGACGTACGAAGCGCCGGCAGACCGATCCATTACTTTAGTGATTAAATAAACCAGGCAGATGGAGGATGCTTTTACTTTGGAATGTTAATTACATTTTTTTAAATATATTATTGTTTTTAAAATACACTACAAATGTAATCTTAAAAGTCATTTATTGTGATATCTTACTATGAAGTTTATGCTGTATGTGTAATTCTTACGAATCACATCACATCAACAGCTTTTAATAGTCTACTGCTGGACATAGGCTTTTTTTTTTTTTTTTTTTTTTCCGTGCGGAAATCCCCTCGGATACCACCTGTCGGTGGCATGTCGGACTCGAACCGACTAAAACCGCACGCCTTCGCCGGGTACTAATAGCCGGGGAACCAGGTATACCCTAGAAAGGAAGTCCCTGGTGCCCCGACATACCTCGGGTCATCTACAGACGAGTGGACGACCCCCCCCCGTGTGGGAACCCCATGTTCCCTGTGCTCCCTGGAAGCGAGCGCGCTTCGCAACGCGCTCACCGTCACCCCGGCCTGCTTCTGCTAGGGTGACAGATGGGCTGGACATAGGCCTCTCCTTAGAAAGGAGGTTTTGGCCTACTATACCACGCTGGCCAGACGGGTTGGTATAGGGTTTGTGTCAAGTTTTCCTCCTCTCTGCAGTGCTGTTGTCCTGCGTAGTTTGCTCCCTTAGTCGCCTCTTACGACACCCACAGGATGAACAGGGGTGGTGACATTCCGTATTCTTAATCCGTCACTACACGAATTTTTAGGAGTAATTGATTTGAATCACCTTTGTTAACAAAAACATCGTTTTTGAGACAGTCCATCACGGCGCTAATCTTTGAAGACAGTCGTGTAAGTTCAAATACTGGGTTGTTGGGAGACAACACTGAACGAATGGCTTCGGCTGCAGTGGTGCCTTCCTGGGCTGGGCCATCAGGTTCCTCTTCATTATCAGAGTTGTTATTTTTACTCTGTGAAAGGTGCTGGTAGATTCATAAAGATGTAGGTATTGTGACGTAATGTTATTTTACCACAGTAACATTATTTTAAAAACTTATTCAATTCTCATTTTGATCAATAATAGTTAAGAAGTATCCCTGCTTAATAAATAACGTCGGTTCTGACATTCAATTTATTTTTAAAATACCAAATAAATTAAGTAACATGAAGATACGAAATGATTCACATTTACTATGTAAATTTCACTATTTTACAGCAGCAACTTCAGACGAGTGCATCATCTCACCATGGAATATTAGTATATTTTTAAAAGCTCTCCTGGACTCGTCACCTGCCAACAGCCTGGAGGGAGGCTGTTTTACCTTAGAGTCTCTTACCTTTCTCCTAGAGCGGGAGTCATCTAGGGAGAGTTTGTTGAGCTCAGCGAGCAGGTCCTGTCCAGCAGGGTCCTCCTGCACGTCGGCCGCGCTCTCCTCGTCCAGCATAGCGGCGATCAGACCGCAGTGACAACACACTTGACGCAACCGCAGGAGAAGTACCAAGATCTCGTGGGACTTCACTGGCTTAGCTCCTGTCATACGATATCACCCAATTTATCTACCGTATCTTTTTTTTTTTGTAATAATACATCGAAAGGACACTGTTCAATAGCGTCTTTTCGATTAATAATTACAGCAGGATAAATTACAGACAGTTTGTAATCATTTCATTTTTTTATATCGTAATCAGGACTTAAATCAGGACTTATTAAAATACATTAGGTCACCCTACGATTTCAATCGGATTTACATTGCAAATCGTCACTCATGCCAATTATACCAATATCAATGAAATTCGATCGAAAAGTCGGGTGTTGTACCTCTTAATTTAGCGCGTATAAAACCCCGATTTACACATCACTGTTCCGAAAACCGGAGCAAGTTGGTTATAAACATTGACAGACAAAGATTACCGCTTAACAGTAAGTACGCCGTGTTCTTAATTACTAAGACCAAAATAATATTTTTCTGTTGTATTTTAGTGCTATTTTATTTCTAAGGACAAAATCACTGTGACCTATGGCGGTTTGATCAAAGTACGGATGACACATACCCGATGCTGATTTTGTAATCAAATACTTCATTAGAAGAACTTAACACTATGGTCAGTTAAAAAAAACCGTTGCAGATAGGTATCTCTACATTTTTCTCTTTACCTTGCAGTGCAATCATCTTCTTATGCATCTTATCGTAGGCGCTGTCCTTCTTAACAGAAGTGAAACCTTGCGCGTCCGCGGTCTTCTCCGCCCGCTGGTGGAGAAACTGGGCGAATAACGTCTTGGAGAATACGAGCACCTGCAGAGATAATAGTACGTTATTGATACAATTTTTATTGTGCATAAACAAATAAAGACCAGGCGAAGTATTGTCACAGAATTACTGAATAACGGTTTGAGTATATTATTGACTATTCTTTATTTTATTGAAACTAATGGTGAATGCAAAATTTCAGCATAGTCAGCTGAGGATAAGTACTTTAAAATTCTTTTGCAAGGGTTTTTATTTAAATGATAATAAAAGTGACCGCAAGTAAAGTACATTTAGTGTGCAATTACGATTAAAATAAATATATTATTATTATAAATAAATAAATATATTAAAGTTGGGATTGAAATTTAGATAGTCTTATTCTTGGGAGTCACAAGAGAGGAGGTATTGATTTTCATAATACTTGCCAAAATATTTATAATTCTTAATTTGTCTCTCTGTAAATAGAAACTCTTTGAGAATGACAAATGAAGGTTGTCATTGCCATGACAATGGACACTTTGTAATGTACAGCTATGTATGTAATGCACAATTTCTAATCAAGTTTAATTTACCTTAAAATAGTGATATCAGCAAAGAAGATACAAGTTTTGTGGCAGATCTTCAACATAGGTAAGTCAAAAGAAAAAGACCTAAAATACTTCCTTGTGGCACTCTAAAGTGACTGTTGCGCATTGGAGTTATTATCTACAATAGTATTGATTAGTGTCAATTTCAGTTATTCCAGTTATCTGAGTTCTTTTTGCTAGATATGATTTAAATCGTTCTAGTGCTCTGGAGTTCTTATGCCACTTTTACAATTTATTAATAAAAGCAGAATGAAAAACTAAATCAAAGGTCTTACTCAAGCCTAAAAATAGCACTAAGATTTTGATTTATGTATATTTGCAACTGACTTATGTAAGTTAAGCAATGTTGATAAAGTGGATTTGTAAAACGATTTTTTGTTCTGTTGTAAGACCAAAACTTTTCAAGAAAGAGACTACCTTCTTATAAACAGGTATTAATAAGCTTCGATAGTCTATGGAGTAATGTTTTCGGACTGTAATTTTTTTGTTTTTTTATGTGCATAATGGTTTTATGAGAAATATTTTTAGTTAATTTGGAAAATATCATTTAAGATAAAAATACTGTTGAAAAAAAACTGTAAAAAAAACTTGATAAATAATTCGTTACCTTCTGGTAGACATTCATTTCAGCTTGTGATAATGAAACATGTTTTTGGTGAGCAGTACGCTCGGGCAGACAGTCCAGCTGTCCCTTCTGTTGCAGTTGCACTTTCGTTCGTCTCAGCAACAAGCATTGCATTATAGTGTTCATGCGTTCCTGCCCGCCGAGACTCTTGTTGTCTATCCATTTCTTCCACATCTAAGCGGGACAGAAACAGACGTCTAAATTAGAGGTAGGGACGTACCGACACCGTGTCATACGGCGCAGTAGAAATTTTACAAAAGTTAAAATGAACGTGACGGTGTCGACATTTAAAACATTTCAAAATGGCAGAGTGAAGTTTTAGAAAACGACGTGTAGAAAGATGACGCCAGAGGCGGACTCACGGTGAGGTCGTCGAAGGGCGAGCAGCGCAGGAACTTGAGCAGCGCGAAGAGGTCGAGGTCCTTGTTCTGCACGGGCGTGCCCGTGAGGCACCAGCGGCGCGCCGAGCGCAGCGCGCACACGGCGCCGCACGTGGCCGACTTGTGGTTGCGCACGATGTGCGCCTCGTCCAGGATCGCGCGCCGCCACGCCACGCGCATCAGCACGCCGTTCTGACACAACGCTCACGGTATAGCTACCATACCACCACGCACCTCACTAGATGATAAGTGACTCCCTTCGTAGAAATAGAGGAAGGGGATCTCCGGCAATTTTATACATTGATATTTAAATAAATATTAAAATATGTATTAATGAATTGTTTTAATAAAAAAAACCATCTTGCGCCCATTCTTTCAACCGAGGAGGGTTGAAAGAATGGACGCGAGATGATCTTTCGAAACTTCGGCTACGGCTGAACTTCGAAATTTTACGTGGAGGGACTGCCACCAGACCTCTACAACCCAAATATTGAACGATATCGAAATTCTGGATCATGACTTGTCGGACTTTTTAGAGACCCATAACAACTGTCACAGATGAGCGTATGGCAACCGAGACCGACGGCTTAACGTGCCCCCGAGGCAGAGAGAGGTCTCCATGTGTTGACCCAACCACAGCTTAACCTGACTAGGATTACTTAACTTTGTAATGTGTTAACCTACTCGACTACCTAAACTTAAATATAACACTTTGCAATCGTTTGTTTACAGTTAATGTTTTGTATGTTATAGTTAAAACGCCGTAAGCTTGGCCCTCCTGATGGTTTGGGGGACGCGGGGCGGGGGTGCATTCAACCAATTAGCTAGTGCGTCGCTGTCCGCCGGCAGTGACTGACGTGAAAGCATGGCTGTGCGTGTTATTTTCCTTAAGACTGCTACACACAGTATTATTTTGCAACATGGATAATCTGCCAACTCTGCGTCACAAAAAGATTAAAAAACTTGAAGTTCGGCTTACAGAGGTTCTACTGTTAAAGTTCTAATAAAGAATATTTATTATTTTACTTAATTTTTAAATTGTATCTGAATATAATTTACATGATGAAGATAAGGTGATTTTATTAAAATTATGTTACAGTATTAAATTTTACAATTAATCATAAAAACTTACAATACACTGACATTATAATACATGGAAATAAATTAGATTTTTATAACATCGTGTGTAGATTAAATCTCAAACAAATAAATCTGAAGATATCGAGTTAGTACATCGTGTCATAGCCGTATAGCCGAGCGCATCACCCGCCCCGCGTCCCGCAAACCATCAGGAGGGCCAAGCTTACGGCGGTTTAACTATAATACTTTAGATTTCGACATGTCACGACGCTTAAGAAACTAGCCACAATTTCACGTTTCGACAACCTTCTCCTTTCTTAACAAGTGACGTAATTTATGGATGGCCGTTAATTACAGGTATGACATGTTCTCAAAAGAAAAAACCTGACAGTTCTATTATTTCATACTGACTTAGTCGATCAAGAAAATAAACGATGTGTATATTTTTATAGTTACAATTGGTAGCCAAAATAAACGATACAGTTCCGGTAATTGATGAGGAACGAAAGCACCATTTAGCAAATTATTTGGCACAGCAGTTGAACGCCACGAGCCAAGTTCAACGAAATTGCATTCTGCAATTGCAAAAATGCATTCTGAAACACTGTTAATTGTTATCATATTTTTTGATTTGTTACATCTTTCTGTGAAAGTGATTTCGTGGAAAAGGACGGAAATGTTGTGTGTTGATATTTATTTAAGAATTTGAAATTCATTATTTGTATTAAAGTCAGTTCAGTTTTTTTGGATTGCAATTAACTTATATTTTTAACATGAAAATTATTGTATTGTACAAATTGCTGCAAAAATAACGTTTTACGTAATTAAACAATAGGGAACTTAGTAATTATTAATTAGCCTTAGAAACTCAGGGCGAATGAAATGATTTTTTCAAATCCCCTCCTACTCCCCAGTAGTATATGCCCTGAACGTGTCACGTAGTATGGGTATGTTCCCTAACGCGGTACCTTTTCGTTGTCCCTCTGCAGTATGTTGTAGGTGGTGCAGACGAGGTCGTAGGTGGCGAGGCGGGCGGGCTGCGTGGCGCGCGAGGGCCCGTGGTGCAGGCACACGGACAGCGCGTGGGGGCGGCAGTGCTTGGCCACCTCGCCGCCCCACTGCTGCATCAGCGACGCCGGGCACACCACCAGCGTGCCGCCGCGGACCACCGCTAAGGGAGCACATTTTATAAGGCGTTTCATCCAGCAATAACTCTTGGCGAGTGCTTTTTTCTGGATAAAAGGCCCACTTTTCAAGTGAAAACCAGTTAACAGAGAACGGATATTCAAAATTACAATACAGAAATAAATGATTTAAATGTTCTAAATTAAAATAAATATTTTTCACATCACACGTCAACAGCTGCTAATAGTTCACTGCTAGACATGGGCCTCTCCTTAGAAAGGTGGTTAAATATTTACATACATATATGGCCACAAAACTAACGCAATTTTAATCTAAACACTTAATTAAAGACTGGTTATGTGCGTATCGAGTCAAGTATTGGGTTTCCTAGTTTATTACTATCCTATTTGAAACAAGTAACAATGTCCTGTATGTGTTTATTTTAAGGATTTTGTAATCAATTTAACAACTCATCCAACTCATAAGATATGCAGCCCATAACATGAACCTTATTTTTCTTTCTGTGCGGAAATCCCCTCGGATTCCACTTACCGATAGGAATGTCGGACTCGAACCGACTAAAGCCATCTCAGATACCAGTAGTCGGTGAACCAGGTATACCTTAGAAAGGAAATCCCTGCTGCCCCGACGTCCATAACATGTCCCTAACATCTTATATGCTAAGCAATTGTTACCTTTAACAAAACTAACAGTAACTCAATGATTGGTGATACTATTTAAATATTTACAAAATCTGTAGAATATTTTTATTTTCACTATCTTTATTATTTGTAACATCATTAGTGTTGATATCAAAATACTAACTCTTGCTTTTAGTGGGATAGTCATCATCTTCGTCTTCGTCATCATCATCGATCTTGCCCTCCTTGTCGCCAGCAATCAAAGCTATCATGGTGATAGTCTTGCCAAGACCCATGTCATCCGCTGTGGACAAACGAACAATCATTATTAAGCTGTTCAATTTATGGTTTCTTTTTTTTAATACGGGAATTTTGGGTCTGTAATTTTCAAGCTTATCTTTGTAATTTTTTTTATACAGTGGGTTATTTATTACTGTCTTTAACGCGGTTGGGAATACGCCAGAGCAAATACACAAATTTATGATGTGACTGAGGTGTATTACAATGGAAGTAAATACAAACTTTATTACTTTAGTAGCTATATCATAGTGGCCAACATTATTTATATTTTTAAAAGTTTGTATTCCTCTCATAACGTCTTCTGGCATTACAGACATCATAAACATTGTGTAAGGATTATTAATCAATCAATGTCCCCAATCTTTTGTTTTTTATTACTATTTATATGATCAATGAAGCGATTGTTAAAGTAATTAGCAATATCTGTAGGGTCTCTTATAGTTTAATTATTTACTTTTATTTGTGATATAGGCTTACCGTAGCGCGCTTTGTTATTAATTAAAAAAAAACGAACTAGATCTGACTTTTTATTTACTCTCTGACTGCCAATTAAAGTTTCGCGCGATCATTGGTCAAATCAAATAGCGCGCGGTTTCCCGGCTTCCTGTTACACAGTTCCGTCTGTTTTTTGAGATGATAAATTATACACATCAACGACTTGTTACTACACTATTGTCGAACCATTTACTCTTAGTTGTTAGTTAGTCGTAGTTGTTAGTTTGGTAATTGTGTTTATCTTGGAGTATTGTTATTTTCTTTAAAAGTCCTTCCTTTCACCGAGCCTTTTTTCATAAACTAGGTTGGGGTCGGCTTTAAGTCTACTAGAAAAGCTCTGTAGAAAAACTGTTGTCGGATATTTTATGGGTCCAACTACCCGTAGTGATCGCTACAGATGTTCGTATAACAACTGGGACCGACGGCTTAACGTGGCACGGAAAGGGTCTAGATGTGTTTAAAATGGCCGCCCATCCATAGCCTGACCTGGCTAAGATTGCTTAACTTTGTAATATGTTAACCTACTCAGTTTTCACTTTTTTTACAGAGTGTTACACCTGTAGTTTTTTTTTACAGAGTATGGATTAAAAATATATTACAGCACAATTTATATAAAAATAATTAAACACTCTGTAAACAAATATTTGGAGATCTGGTACATACGTAATTGTCACATAAAATGCTTATCATTAATCATTAACTTTAAAAAGTATAATAGGTGTACATACCAAGTATTCCTGCCCTCGGCCTCTGTGTCTCTCGCCATCGAAGCCAGGCTAAGGCATGGAGCTGATGAGGTAACAGGGTGCTGGTTAAGCATTGTGGAGCTTTGTCCTTTTGGCTCTCTGCTGGACGAGAGCCAAGGGACTCGTACAGGTCACGGAGTCGGTCCAGGATCAGGTTACGTTCGGCCATGTGAGTGGCCATAGCTACGTAAAAACAAAATAAGTTTATATTACATGGTGCATATTTTACCTACTTCATTATTCTTTTGACACCATTGTAAAAAACTTTTTTTTTGTTTGTCACATATGGGTGGCTTGGCCATGGCTTGCAAATCCTACACTTTTACTACCAGTTACCGAAAATAAGGTATTTGGATAAACTAGCTTTTCCATGGTGAAAGTATTATTAAAATTAATTAATTATTTTAGAAACTCATAGACCAAACAGTTTTTTTTCTCTATACGATACTAGTACAGATTCACTTACCCTGCTTGCCAAACATGCGAGGTTGAACGGCATTGCTCGCCTTCTGAATATCTTCCCAAGATAGACCTTCCTTCTGGTCAAAGCCATCTCGAGCAATGTCAGCTGCGCTCGGATTGTCTGTTGGAACATGGGATATTTTTTTAACATGAGACTAGGATTGTTGAGTGGGCGTTAAGATTGTTCACCTATTATACCGACAGATTGGTTTATTTCATTGTAAATATGGAAACTAAGTGGGTCGCCTTGTAAACAATGAGACACAACCCATTTCTTAACCTGAAGTAGCATTTTGGACTAGTTTTATATGTTTATATGATTAACAAGACATATATTTTTAATATTGAGTGGTGAAGAATGCTCTGGACATTAATTCTGCCTTAGTACAAAAGTGCATAAAGTTGTACAAATAAACAAACCTATGAACGTCCAGTACATTTCAAGTCAGGCGGTGCTATTTTGAGTAGCTTTACCCTTTGCCCTACCTACAAATGTCGCAGAAGCACCTAACATCGGAATCAAAATAAACGATTTTTTGAAAGAAGAATCTGAATGATCTCACCTGGTTCCACGACCATATTGGCGACCTTGTCTCCTTGGACTCGCACCTGCTCCTCTAAATGAGTGAGGCGTTCGATTAATTTGCCCCCACCATCTGGCAATGTATCCACGTCCATTTCTTCGAGAAGATACTGCAAACAGAGTAAAATATTTTTTTTTTTTTTTAAGGACTACTTTTGATATTTAAATAGGTAGCTGTCGTGAGCAAAATTTGTTTCTGTGAGGGGTATATGTTGTCTCTAAGCACCAAATCCTTCTTTATTTCCTTGTGGCGTATTCCCTTCTATCGCTCTTTATCTACTTATGGTATTATTGCTCTAACAGCCAACCACATTAAGTAACACTTACCCTGATATTTTTGAGGTCTTCTTGAAGAGCATTAAGTTTCAAGAGTTCGGTTTCCCTGACGTGCTTCTTCACAAACACCACTTGCTGGTTCGGGTAACTAGGGGGCGCGAGATATTGTTTAATATTCTGCGATATCGGCCGTGTGCTCTCATCCTGTTTGGGTTTCGGGGACTTCTTGATACTAGTCGACTTCTTGATACTGGGTGACTTCTTCGGTTTAGGAGACTTCTCCTTAACCTGTCGAAGTTAATTTTTTATCATTTTAGAGGCTAGGGATTATCGTTTCTTTTTTGAACTCCACATACTGCCACTCTTATACTAGACAGAGATCCTTAATACTATAGGTACCAGAGTAATAGGTATATTATGTCGAGACAGAAAAAATGGTCGTATTTATTTATCTTGAGGGGGAATCGAATCATCGACCGGCGTAGCAGTCACAAGCTCTCAAAATTTTTCATATATAATTTGAACGAGGTATCTCTATATCACTAGTACTCTGAAAAGGTTAGATTAAAGGTTTGCTTCGATGGGTTACTCTTACCCTCCAAACAGCAGGAGATATTTAAACCTGTCAGGGTTCAAAAAATGGATGATTTTTTTTATACGTCTGAGCTAGCAGAAAAATATATTGCACCATGAAAGTATTTATTTGCTTTGGTAGGAACAAACTTATTCAAGTCAGCTTGACTCTCACAAGTAGTCACAAGAACCCTAGTAACTACTTTACGTTGCCGATTATCTCTGATATTGATCCTGGCGATTTATAGTTCACACTGGCCTACAGTGTAACGCGTAACCAGAGTAAGCCAGGTACAGCCCTCTGGTAGTCCATGAGTCTACGATCGCCGTTTCCTAAAATATTTTATTATTCCTAATCGTTTAACCTACATTTGTGACTTTTTTATCAGTATCTAAGTACGGACCCACAAGTGCTACACTATTCCTTCAATTTATGTAGTCTCGTCAGAAAACCGCCGAGCATTAAAGAAATCTGCTAAAACTTTACAGTCTTACACATTGCACGGACACATAAATAAAAATGACAAAGAAAATAATTAAACCATTTTCTAGTTAAACTGATAGATGATGATGAACAGTCATAAGTTACAATATTTCGTAGAATTAACCCCTCGAACATTTCAAAATATTATTAAAAACATACAATGTCATAACACGACGGGAATATCTCGAACGATTTCCATGTGAAAATTCAACTTGGAGTCTAAATATCGTTCTTAGTTTCAAAAGAAAAAAAGTGAGAAAAAAAGTTTCAAAAATAAAAGACAAAAGTACTACATGTAAAATAGTTTTTACTTACAACCGTCGGACTTTTAGACATGTTAGTTACTTATATGATTACATTCACTTAAATGCGTCAAAGAATATTTTCAAACCAGTTAACACAACACATAAAATAAATGACATTAGCATGAACTTGACGATACATTTGCAGACCGTTATGTAAAATTTGGTTCCGACTACCCACATATACATACTATATTTTTTAGACGCATTATTTTGTGTGTCTACCGTCTCCGAGTTTGTGAAAGTAATAATATAATCCGTTCAAATCAACCTAAAGCATTAAAGTGATAGTGGAAGAATATATTGTACTACAAAATGTCAAAGCGGCCTTCGCCAAAAAAAGACGCTGTAATTATTTACTTCCGACTAAAGGGCGTTACACACAACAAAGATACTATAAGATTTTCGTCTCAAGATAGTAATAATAATAATATTCTACCACATTCACACAACGCCATCTAGTCCCAAACTAAACAAAGCTTGTACTATGGCTACTAGATAACTGATATAAAAACATAGATACTTTTTTTTGTAAATACATACTTATTTTACATAGAAAAACCCAGACCAAATCAAACATTAACTGTTCATGCACACAAATGTTTGACTTGAGCGGGAATCGAACCCGCGACCTTTAGAATAGCAGTCCGTTACACAAACCACTACGCCATTAATATTTTGTAGGGTAACAAAAACAGTTAAGTTACGATAATATGCATATCATTATTGTCTCGGAAGCACTTAATCGCCACACGTAATTTGTACAAAATCTCTATACAAGTTGAGAAATTATGGCTAGTCCTGCTTTACTGATTTATTTGACCGCTCATCAGAAGATGATTTTGGTTGCCGAGTTATGTTACGATATGTTACATTTGTTAACATTAGAATCCTTTAACAAATCATCGTTTAAAAATTAATATCGAATATTCCGTCGTGTGTGATGGTACATTGAATTATATGGCGAGCGATATTGTTTCTTAAGATGAAAAAATTATAGTATAGTAGTAAAATAATAAAAATTGTTTAATAACTTAGTAACTTTTAAGTGCTTTTTAAGTTACTAAGTTATTAAACAATTTTTATCACCACATAGCACATATCTATAAAAATAAATAAAATTGAAGTGTCTGTTTGTAATGTCAAAATAATAGGTTTTTTTCATGCTCACACGGTTATTTGCACGATACCTATGCCTAAAATCCAGTTTATTATTCTTTTTGTCTGTCTGTTTGTTTCGGGTAATGTTCTAAACGGCTGGACCAATTTTGATAGTATTCTACTACCGGGTAGCTGTTTATATAAGGAGTAACTTAGGCTATTTTTCCTATCAGAAAAACCCTTTAGATACATTTTTAAATTCCACGCGAACTAAGTCGCGGGTATCAGCTAGTTTTTATACACACTTAGATTTCTGATAAAAGTAAATGATTTTTAAATTGTTTATTCTAAAACATTTCATAAATGGCTCTTTTCTTGAAGATCGTATCGGACCGGAAATACCGCAGATGATAACCCGTGTCACAGATTGGTCGTGCGGGGCAAAAGCGCACAGTATTGGAGCGCCAACTATCCAGGTGATGAGGATGAAAAGGTGATGTGATAATTTATTAATCAAATAAGGAATCATTACTTACGTCATCTTCATCATCACTGCTGAGTGCAATGATCTCCGGCTTCGTATCAATTATAGTAACATCATCATCATAGCTGATGAAATTTTCTTTAAATTTTTTACCCATTCCATTTTGCGCTTTCTTAGTCAAAGAACTGGGTAGGTTATGGCCTGGATCACTTATGATTATACATTCATCCTGGTTATTTGTTTTTGTTTCATCTTTTTCTAAAGAATGTCGTTTAGTCTGATCATTAGTGATGTCATGTAAAGGACTTGCAAATGGTGAACAGGTCAATCTTGAGGAATCAGGATCTTGATCTTGTTCTATTGTCTTCTTAGGAGTTTCAGTGAGTACAACTTCTGGGAGGCTTGTTGCAGAGCTTCGATTTGAATTCGGTCGACTCTAGAAGATTATTCAATCCATTTTAGTAATTATTTTATGATATAGGAGCGTACGAGCAGACGGGTTACGTGATAGAAAGTGACCACCACTGCACAGAAACATTTGCATCTCGAGAGTTACAAGTTGGTTATCGTTCGTTGAGGCGGCAATATGCTCTTTTCTTGAAGGTTTAAAGAATACCTATATATTTTCTATTTTTTAAACATGTAATTCCTGTATTTTTCTTTTTCTTTCTTACATATTTTCCTTTTACATACATACATACACATACATACACCCAAGTCCTTTAACCCCGACGGGGTAGAATACTAAGCCCAAATCCCCTAAGGGCAATACTACAGCTGTCAACTGGGAACATATGCTTCTAAATAAACATAATTATATATCTCTAAAGACATACATATTGATAAATTAGACAAAGACACAGAGTATAATATCATGCTCATCACACATTTGTCCCATGTGGGAATCAAACCAATACACCAAGAAAGAAGCCCCCCTCTTTGTTTTCCTAATTTTCATATAATCACATATCCTGGACTTTCCATTTGGCAATGGGTTAAAAAAATTATAGTTGGCATATATTCAAATACGCCATTGAGGCTATAGACACGAGTGTATACACATAGAGGTATAAAGTAACAAAATAAAATACTTACATCATCAGACTGTATAAAGTCCGAATCATCAGTGTCATTACTATCATCTTTTGGTATCACACCCATGATACTCATCCTAGTAGCTCTAGACATGACCATTTGATCTTCATCAGGTCCATCATCTTCAGACGCTGCCCCAGTAGACTCTTCAGAACTATACCGATTATATGGTTGAATATTGCTTGTTCTATTCAGTGTACTCTTGTCAACTTCGTACTCAACTGTACTTTCTGTATTGCTATCTTCTTTAGTTTCCTTTTCATCACTACTGGCTTTGGTAGCCTGGTCACTATCTTCTATACTGTCACTGTCAATAATAATACCGTTTTTACTGCTAGCAGTCTTCAAAGGTGTCTCTTTCAGACATTGAAGCTTTTTATGTTTGTTGTGTTCGATAATAATAGAGTTGTCTGTATCAGACTCTAGAAGCATGATACGCTTTTTTGTTTTACGTCCTATTATTGATTCATTGGCGTCAGGAGATTTCTTCTTGATTGGCCTTCGTTTTGGTATCATTTCTGGTGAGCATTGATCTGTTGAGTAGCATATTAGAAGCAGTTGTAGATATTTTTTAATTATTTCGCCGATGATTTTAGAGGTTCAAGGAAGAATACGGAATGTCACCACCCCTAATCATCCCGTGGGTGTCGTAAGAGCCGACTTAGGGCACAAACTATGCAGGACAACAGCACTGCAAAGAGAAGGAAAACTTGAAACAAACCCTATACCAACCCGTCTCGCCAGCGTGATATAGTAGGCCAAACTCTCCTTCCTCTCAGGAGAGGCCTATGTCCAGCAGTGGACTGCGACAGGCTTGTGATGATGATGAATTGATTAGAAACTGATTCTTACCATCTTCATCTGAAGAACTCAATACTAATTTACTAGAAGACTCGGACTGTCTTCTAATGCTACCCCTTCTACTCCCATCTGGTAACAACAATAGAGACGGTTACATTAGTTTTCATTTCAACAGATTAGATAAAAATAAATTAAAGTTGATTAAGATTAATAATATAATAATAATATTTAGTTTTTCAGACTTTTTTTACAAAAAAAATTGCAGATCATACAAACATTTGGTCCAACCCGGCAATCGAACCCGAGACCTCAGCACGCAATCGCATACGCTACCACTGCACCATCGTGGCAGTAAGGTTATCACATAAGTATGATTTATATAAATTTTAACAATTAAATTCATAAATTAAGACTAAATTACACCCTAAGGTAATAATTACAATCAGAGCAATTCTATAGAAACATCATGTAAACAAAAGTGTAGTTTCTTACAGTTAAAAAAGTGCATAACAGTCTTCAAGAAAAGGAATCAGATATAATACTGGGGAAAACTATTTTCATTCAAATGTTGTAGTTTCTTGACTAGTAATGGTCAATAATGCTAATTAGATTTAATTTAATTAATTGCGAATTATGTCTCAACATGTTAATTGCTAATGCTAAAATTGCAATTTCGTACGAGGAGAGCAAATGAAAAACGATCGTAACTTGTAGGTGTCTGACTAAGTACTAATCTATACAAATAAATAAAATTGATGTGTCTATTTCTAATGTCAAAATAATATGTTTTTTTTCATGCCCACACGGTTATTTGCACGATACCTGTGTCTAAAAACCAGAAAAAAAATCCGCCCGTGTGCGTCGCACGCTCTGTACACCCGGCGGCCCTGAGGCAACACTTTTCAAACTCCACGCGAACGAAATCGCGGGTACCAGCTAGTTTTACATGAATAACTTATTTTTAGGATCCCTCAGCACATCACCGCGGACACGCTGGCAGAATGCACCGGGTTGGGTGGAGCAGAGGCGTGGTCTCGTAGCGGCCACCGGGGTGGGAGTTCTCTCGCTCAGTAACATGATTGCGGCCATGGTGCGGAGCGGGTGTGCGTGGAACTCCGCTGTCTCCATGCGCGAGCAAGTTATGCTTGCGAAGGAGATGACGGAGCGGTACCGGGCGAGGTTTAGAACTCTCCCGGCCCATTAGGCCCGGGCAGGTACTGCAAAAGTCTCAGGCGCCGGAGGTTGCAGAAAGACCTCCGTCCTCCATAAGCGCAGGCCTGGTGGTGACAGGTGAGGCCATCTGTCACCCTAGCAGAAGCAGGTAGGGGTGGGAGCACCTTTTAGGAGCACATAGGGAACATGGGGGTTCCCACAGAGGAGGGGGTCATCTAACCGCCGTAGATTGCCCGAGGTACGTCGGGGTACCACGGATTTCCTTTCTAGGGTACACCTGGTTCCCTGTCTACTACCGACTAACCGACTAGTCGGTTGTCCGACATAGACATCGGTGGGAGATATCCGAGGGGATTTACAAACAGAAAAAAAGGCCTCGTCCGCATAGCCATATTTTACTGCGCGTTTTATTTCGTAAAATTCTGTAACACATGGGATCTATATAGGACTATACTTATATATTTCAACTCACTACGATTTTCGCGATCAAAATTGGCTGCAATTTTTTTCTCTCAACATTATTACAGAAATAATGTAATATAGGGTTTGTTCGCAACATGCTAGCCTTCGTCAATTCGTCACTTAACACTATCTATTTTCAAAAAATATATCTATCCATTCAGAAAATACATATTTACAACACACGTCATACTCTCCAAAACTTAAATTACCTATACCTACTCAATAATTAAACTTCTTATTAACAAACACTATATGGTCACCAATTCTATGAACAACTTTAAACAGTTTAACAAAACACTACGAGTAAAAGTCATTCAAAACAATACCTAATCTCCCGGCGGAAAATATTCGGGAATTAAAAATTCAATGAATGATATTAAAAATATATTTATGCAATAAACAGTCATAAATACGTGCATTTCTTTTAAAATAGACAATAAAATCCTTTGCACTCTCAAAAATAGCATCAATCGCGCCCGCGCTCGGTCGCTGTTCCGAGTACATACGTACATGTACGTGATAACGTGATAGCAGACGGTTCATTTCTTGTCATCATGTAGCAATTTAGAATTAGCAGTTGTATTAATATTTTAACAGGTTTATTAAATTAAATTTACTCTTCGCATTGATGAGAATGAGAAAGCACACGCTGTGTGAATGTGAAACGTTAATTGAGTTCCTTTCTATGACTGCATGGATGGCATCGTGGTATAAGCGGTCGCTACACCACTTCCTACTGTGATGAGTGTTGTGGGTTAGAGCCCCACATAGGACACCACTTTGTGTGATCCACAAATTGTTGTCCTGAGTATGGGTGTTCTTCGTGTTTGTGTCATGTATGTCTGTAAAGTCCCCTGCTACACAGGATATTTACTCCTAAACCTTTTAAAAATTATTGTTAAAACCTTCCCTTTATGTAAAATGTGTGGTATGTCTTTATAAATAATTCCCATGTTTAAAAAAATACTTAGACATTTTTCCTGCAACAAACAACATATTTGTAGTCATAGTTGATGATGGAAAAAATATCCATCTGTTTTTGTGGCAAAAGTTTTTATAAACATAGATCACAGACAGACACAAACCAACACAAATAAAGGATTTGATTAATGTGTTTGCCGCAGGGAACGTGTTGATCCATTTTAATATTATATACCATACACACACACACACACACACATAGCCTACGACTTAGGTCCAGGTAAGACATAGGGATGGAATAAAATCACAATCACATGTAATAAATCATATGATTTCTAAAATCATATACACACCAGTGACTGATTTACAATACCTCTGCAACTTACTTATTATTAGGATGCTAACACATGACTTGTAAAAGGTTTAAATCTAAAAAAAAAAGATTGTCATCTTTGATAAAATAATTTTGATCAATTGCTGTGAGTTTGCTGTGACTAAAACAAACCATTTCATCAAGGTGATGATTTAAAATGATTTAAAAGTAGCAATAATTGCCATGTCTAGTAAGACATCAAACTTATTATTTCATTGAAATTTTACATAAGGTACCATTTTGAAGTTTGATAGAGAAGAACTGTTACTATGTACTCAAATACGATATTATGAATTGTTACTCTTGTCACATAATGAAAAATAACATTGTTAGATCTACATTACTGGAAAGTATTAAAAATGGCTTACCATCGTCACTGCTTGATATAACAAGTTTATCATTAACACTGCTTCTTCTGACCACTGACTTCGATACATTCTGTGGTAAATTCTCTTCATTGTCACTATCATCTAAAATTTTACAGAAATTAACTGACTTCTGATATACCTCTATTTATTTGTCAACAAAACAAACAATAAAATAAATGGACTTCAGCTCTCTCAAACTAATTATTTTGAAGTACAAATTAAAACTTCAGTATTACCATCTGTATATTCTTCCGACTCGGCTACATAAACCGTATGGTTTTTCTTTTTTACGTTAAATGATTCGTCGGCTAGGCTATTATCAATAATTTCTGAATCTGAACCACTATCAGCTGCAGTAGCGTCACGATATTCAAAGAATGAACTCTCCATTTTTCTAGACACTTTTAACCACAACAATATTCTATAGCTTGTTATTATTTTCCTAAACGAAAACGTGTATTAATAAAATAATCCTACAACCTTATTCAAAAACAATTTTTAAATGTAAAATGTCGTTTGTAAAACGTTTTGTTTCTGCTGTGAAGCAAGACAAACAGAATTTAATTTAAATATTATAGAATTCAAATATTTTTAGTTTGATTTTCTGTGTAAGTATTTTAGTTTGTAATTAATTGTAAATATTTTTATCATATCAATTTAGTATCTAGTTCCTTAAAAGTTTTATGTTTTGAAAAAAATAGTTTTAATATTCGTAACTTGTCAAAACTATCCGAGATTTATATGTGACTCTCTAAAAATATTACTGTACCCTCTGTATGTGACCTTATCACGCTTTGATTTTAAGTTTAATATTAGTTGTCACTTGTTCATTCATTCAATCAATTTCATTTATTTCATTCATAACGTATAAAATCTTTAAATCGAAACGTCAAAAGAGCATTCCTCCTTTACTGGGTTTCTTTATGGTTTATTACTTTATTTAAATACTCTTTGGAATTTGTTGGCATTCTTCTTCCATTCGTAAATAGTGATAGTATCTTACATCAAAATTAATATAAAAATATTACCACGCGTTGTTAATTAAAAATCTAATCAACAATGACGGAAGTACAATTGCAAGAGTTTAAACTAGACCCTGATTCCGAATTGAGGTTCGAAGTGGAATCGAAGAATGAAAAAGTTGTGTTAGAGGTAATTTCATAACAAAACAACATCAATTCCAGAACGGTTTCACCTCAAGATCACAAAAGTTTGATAAATATAAATGTTAAAGTGGGTCCATATTAAAGTCTAAGTGTTTGTTTTATTAGGTCAAGAGTGGTTATGCAGAGTTGTTTGGCACTGAATTGGTAAAAGGAAAGCCTTATGAGTTCCATACGGGTGCCAAAGTAGCTGTGTTCACATGGCATGGTTGCACTGTCGAGTTACGAGGGAAGACTGAAGTCAGTTATGTGGCTAAAGAAACACCTATGGTGAGTAGATCAGTAAAAAATATAACACGTTTATAATACAATATCTTTGTTGCTTTATTCTCCATTTGCTAAGGTTTACACCTGTTTCACACAAAACTAATAAGATGTTGTTTTTTATGGCCGTCTTGCACCCTTAATCTAATTGGCATAGTGTATCAATTCTCCTTCTTTCATTTTTGAAACGCCACATCGCCCCCGATTATTATTAGCTTGAAAGTACAGTCAGAAAAGTTGATACGACGAATTTTGAAATAAGTATGTTAGAGGTTAAATTTACTTCAATTGAAAGTGCATCAATATGTCCTAACACTATTTCTTAATTAAATATGACGAAGGCCTGTACCGCTAAACTGAGCTTTTTCACATGGTAATAATGACTAATTTAAATTAATATGACAGTAAAATAAATGAATAACTTCTAATACTATCAACATAGTAAAATACATACATACATACATTTATTTGAAGGGTCAAGATCTAAGTAACAAGTGGGCTGTGGACCTTAATTTCAATGGTAGAACTACACTTGTGTTTTATAGCATAAGCTTAAGTCCCATCATTGGTGTGTGGACCTGCACAGTTATACCAAAGCCTAACAAATTATACACCTAAATCTTCCTTTTGAATCACTCTGTGAAACTCTCAAGAAAACCACATAAAAATCTGTTCAGTAGTTTTATATTCCTTGGTCCTTCCTATCTATGTATCACATATTTTACCTGTAGAAGGCTGTCATGAAATTTTAGCCAACCTTAACTTATGACATTAAAAGCAAGCCTTACACACACATGCATGTATTACACTTACCAATAAAAACCACCAAATACTAATAGGAAACAGGCGCAGATTTCTCATTTGTTGCAATACTACATAGTTCAAGTCCGTAACTAGTAAGCAGTCAGCCTTCACAACATCATTGGGAGTAGGTTCCAGTTATGAACTGCCTGGTCACTGAGAAAGTGGTGGGCAGTGTCTGTATTTGCTGGTGCAAGGACTATTCTTGTTCACTTTTGTTCTAGTTAGATTAGTTCTAGTAGTTAAGCTTTAAAAGCCAAATTTATCTCATTATTAGGTATAAATTGCATTGAGTACACACAACAAATGAAATACCTAGAGCATAATACTAAATACCTGTGTTTCGAATGAACTATTACTAGACAAATTAAAACTAAAAACATAGAATTGATGGGCCTGTTAGCAGTAGAGCAGATCTTGGGTTCCATTCCCTCCCAGGATAAGTAATTGTGTGATGAACATGGTCATTAGTTGTCTGTCTGAGTTTAATTTATCTTTAATATTAAAATGCCTGAATTTAGAAATATTGAAGTATGTTTATCAGCAGTCTGGTTAAGTGGTTACCATAGTACAAGGTCTGATGGTTTAGGATGAGACAGCCGTGTGTGAAATTACTAGTAGAATAGTTTTGAAACAATAATTTGTTTTTGTTTGTTTTGACATCTGTATTAGAACTTAAACAACAATTTGTTTTTGAATTGCAATTATCTATATTTTTTAAATTTTAGGTGGTCTACCTTAATGTCCATGCAGCCTTGGAACAACAGAGGGTAGCAGCTGAGCAGGAGTCCACACGAGGACCAGTCACAATGGTTGTTGGACCAGGAGATGTTGGAAAGTCCACACTAACGAGGATACTACTCAACTATGCAGTCAGAATGGGCCGCAGACCCATTTACGTGGATCTTGATGTGGGGCAGGGGTCTATTAGTACCCCTGGCACTGTTGGTGAGTGTAGTGTTCTAATCCTGTAATGTGCTCTTCTTCTCCTGTTAAAATTATTTCTTCTTGCTAATTTTGAAAACGATGAACTTCCATACAACCGTTCATTCCTAATTTTAATCCCTTAGGGGTGAAATTTCTAAAAATCCTTTCTTAGTGGGTACTTACAACATAAAAGAAGCAGGTTCAGGTTCTGCATTGATGAAGTCAGTAGGGCAAGTGATTTTATGTGTATAGATTAACTGAATTATAAAATAGGTAATATAACTCCAAGTATAATAAAATTGCAATGTGTTCACAATTAAATTCACCAGCCTCCAGAGCCAGGGCAACCCAGTTGGAACCAATTCCTGTAGTATTCATAACTATATTTCATGGAATGTGAGGAACAAAGTACAGAAGTGTGTTTACTGTACTTTGTTCCTCAAATCGTAGGGGTTATTATGTGCAATACTTCATAATGTAGGATTTCTATTTACTGTTTTAGGTGCATTGCTAGTAGAAAGGCCAGCATCTATCGAAGAAGGCTTCAGTCAGCAGGCACCGTTAGTTTACCACTTTGGTTATAGCCACCCTGGAGAAAACCTAGAGTTATATAACACCATAGTGTCCAGGCTAGCTGAGGTTATCGCTGAGAGATGTGAAAATAACAAAAAAGGTCAGTCACAAGATACTTAATTCATTCAATGTATCATTTTGGTCTAGTGGTTAGTGACCCTGACTGCTAAATTGGAGGTTGTGGGTTTGATTCCCACCAAGGACAAATAATTGTGTGTTGAGCACAATGATTTGTTCTATGTCTGTGATGTGTGTGATGTGTAACGTTATTATTATTATGGTTTAATCACCATTATTGGGAAAAAAACACCGTACTGATACCAGTTATTAATAAATACAGTTGCTTCGTAAAAGGTCATAAAAGTTGTATGAGAAAACTCTGACCTATAAATAGTAGCCAGCCTATAAATGTCTCCACACCCAGTGGGTGGGGTGGCATTCTAGCTCTGTGATATAGTCAGTAAAGAAGTGCAAAGGACAGAACAGAAAAAGTGTAGGTATATCAGTGGGACTGTTGTTGATTGCTGATTATTGTGTTAAATGTGATTAATAACAAAATATATATATGTTCAGCAGTGGACTGTTAAGGGCTGTTGGTGATGATGATGATGTGTATATTTCAGGTGTAAATTGGTGTACTGTAATAATATTATAGCTTTAATGACTTATAAAAAGGTTCTGATGTGATTTGAATCTATAATATAGTCTAGTATATGTATGTCTAGTAGTCTACCTAATTATTATTATTAAGCTAGAGCAAGACTTGAGAAAGGTCTAAAACTAAAAAGGGGTTGTACTCTTTAATAAAAAGAACTTTGATTTTAATGCCACTTATCTTTGTCCATGACGAAATCACAATCTCATGTGAAATCACTGTGACTGAAACCAATCATTTCATCAAAGTAGCAATAATTTCCATGTCTAATGTCCAGTCCAATTGTATATGTCGATAGTATTCACAAGATCATACAACATAAACAGAAGTGCCTCATGCAGATGAATGAGTTAATAAGTTATTGTCTAAACATTTCAGCATCAACATCTGGGGTCATAATCAACACTTGTGGCTGGATTAAAGGTTCAGGATATAAAGTGCTGAGTCATGCTGCACAAGCTTTCGAGGTGAGAGACATGTATATTTATTAATATTATTATTTTGTATGTTTTGTTTTAAATATGGCCGTAAATATTTATTTTTCTTAGCCATAGTTTTTGTTGTAGTTTTTGTAGTATGTGTTGTATTTATTAGGATGTGGAGTAGTTTTATTCAGTTAGTGAAATAATGAAAATTTAAAAATGTTTTACACATTTTTAATGAGACATTTATAATTCAGTAACAAAATGCCAAATGTCTTGGAAGTCATTCAATGATGTTCAAAAAGGATGTGAAAGTTATACTAGACGTGCTGTGAGCTTAAATAGTACTTCCCTGCAGATTGCCCCTATTATAATATAACAGGAGTATATGATGATCAAGTCTCAGGTAGGTGCTTCTTTTGGAGTATTTATGATGTGAATAAATTAAATTTGTTTTGAAGGTTCAAAACAAATTTAATTTATTCAAGTTAGGCAACTTAAATAATATGGCTCCTTTTCAAATAATATCTTGAGACATCTCACACGCGGCGGTCGGATTCCGAATTAGGCAGTACCTGTGTCATAATAATCAGACTGCTGATAAACATACTTATTTATGTCTAAACATATATATTATAGATGAATTACACACACACACAATTATTCATCAAGCAATTATTCGTACGAGTTGCAACCTTTGCATTTGCAAGTTCTGGCTTAGCAGTCAAGAGTCGCTAACTACTAGACCATCAGGACACTGAAATATCAAGTACTTCATATAGTCAGGAAACATTCAGGGAAATTCCAGAAAGAGAAAATTTATTTAACCACGCAATACCGTCAATCTTTTTAAAGATAATGCAGGGTGACACGGTATAATGATTTTTATTCCAATAAGCATAAGATCCAAAAAAAATATAGAGTAACAATATTTAGGTGCAAAAAAAATAGATAGGAAGTAAATGCGTACTGTCCGTGTAGTGACGGATTAAGAATACGGAATGTCACTACCCCAATTCCCCCCCACCCCGTGGGTGTCGTAAGAGCCGACTAAGGGCGCAAAACAACGCAGGACACCAGCACTGCAAAAATAAGGAAAACTTGACACAAACCCTATACCAACCCGTCTGGCCAGCGTGGTATAGTAGGCCAAAACCTCCTTTCTAAGGAGAGGCCTATGTCCAGCAGTGGACTATTAAAGGCTGTTGATGATGATGATGTGAAATGAGTAAAATTTTGAATTAGATATTAAAGGTGGCCAAACAAAATGACTCATTTAATAATTAATTTGTTACAGGTCGACGTTATATTGGTTCTGGACAACGAGAGGCTTTACAATGAATTAAAGAGAGATATGCCAAAGTTCGTCAAAGTGGTGTATCTTCCCAAGAGTGGTGGCGTAAGTACATACATACATACATTCACGTATTCACCCTGTGACCGTCCGTATGGTGATGGATTACGAATAGAGTCTTCCCACCCCTATTCGTTCCATGGGTGTCGTAAGAGCCGACTAAGGGAGCAAACTATGCAGAACGTCAGCACTGCAAAGAAAGGGAAACCTTGAAGAAAACCCTATACCAACCCGTCTGGCCAGCGTGGTATAGTAGGCCAAACCCTCCTTTCTATGGAGAGGCTTATGTCCAATGTTTATGTGAATATTAAAGGCTATGGATGATGATGATTCATCCCCCAAGTAAGTAAGAGGCGAGTAACTCTCACATTTTGCCAACTATAGTTTTGACCCCACTATATAAATTTATAGAAACAAATAAACTCATTAAATAAAGCAAATACCATTATTTGCTATAAGTAACCTTTTTCGACCGTCTTCAAAAAAGGATTAGAGGGCCAAGTGCAAGTTTATTTCACATCAACCGTGACCGCGTTTGGTGATGCGATTGGCCCGCGCTGAAATCTTCACCAATCGCAACGCCAAACGCGCTCACCGTGACGATCGATTAGATGTGAAATAAACTCACACTAGGGCATCAGAGGGCCTAGTAGGGCTGAAATCTTCACCAATCGCATCGCCGGACGCGCTCGCCGTCGAAATCGAGGAGAAGTGAAATAAACTTACACTAAGCACACACTTCTCAATTCGGTTGAATGTGTAGTAGGCACCTCAAAACTTGGTAATTTGTTAAACGATTTGGTATTTTTTCTGTTTGGTTCCATTTAAATTTGAAAAGAATAAATACTATCCCTAAGAGTGGCAAATTAAATAATATCAATAAAATGTTGGCTTTCTCAGTAACAAAATAAATTGACGTATAAATGAAATAAAAACTGATTAAATGAATGACATCATCTCCAGTTTAACAAATTATTGTTACTTCTAATCCATTACGATTTAAATCAAAGCACGGGGCCCGTGATGACATGCGAATAAGCATCATTTTGTTAGGAGATAATTTGAATGATTAAATTTGTTTTAAAATAAAAGGTAAGAAACTAAACCTTGACACGTGTCTCCATCAGGTTGTGGAGCGGTCATCGACACAACGCGCCGAGGCAAGAGACGCTCGTATCCGCGAATATTTCTATGGGAAACGAACCCCTTACTATCCTCATTCCTTCGACGTCAAGTTTAGTGATCTTAAAATATACAAGGTAATAATTGCATGCATTTTATACGTAAACGTACTGTTGGTATCGAAATATGTGATTGTACAGTCATTTACTTTGTTAATATTAAAATAATGAATAGTTTGCTGTAGTTTACATTTTTTCATTTAGTGGTTATGAATGTTGTGCGGTATTTCGACATTATCTATTAAGCAGTCGTGGCCGAGCGGTTAAGGCGTCTGACTAGAAATCAGATTCCCTCTGGGAGCGTAGGTTCGAATCCTACCGACTGCGAATGTTCTTTTTTGTAATTTTTTCTTTATATTTTTTTTTCATAAGGAATTTATTGTTTTTACAAATATAATTAGTTTTTTAAAAGTATTTATAATGAAGATTGCAGTTTTTATAATACGCATCACACATGAAATATTTGTCAAATAGATGTGTTATTACAAATTCTTAAACTTTGTATGTATTAAAAGTAATGGACGCTGAAATACTTACTTTAATTTAAAAGTTTTACAAGAATAGGTGCGTTTTAGAAAAAAATGTGTTTAATGGACTGAAAAAGTAGGAGTAAGACTCGGTTTGAAATGATATGTATCTGTGTGTAGGTGGGGGCGCCGTCTCTGCCGTCGTCGTGCATGCCGCTGGGCATGCGCGCGGAGGACGCGCTCACCAAGCTGGTGACGGTGTGGCCCTCGCCCGCGCTGCAGCACCGCCTGCTCGCCGTGTCCTTCGCCGCCGGCCCCGAGGACGACGTGCTGCACTCCAACCTCGCGGGCTTCGTCTGCGTGTGAGCACCTTAACTTCACCTCCTTTTTCATACATACATACAATCATTCATCATCGTTCATCAACAGCTTTTAATAGTCCACTGCTGGACATAGGCCTCTCCTTAGAAAGGAGGTTTTGGCCTACTAAAGGCATTTTTTTAAACTAAAACAAAACTCAGTATATTTAATTTTATTTTTATTTACCTGACCATGATTCGCTTCCAACAATAACAAAATAATAATATATGTTTTGTTTTTTTTTTACCACATTCACACAACACCATCTTGTCCCAAACTAAATGACATTACTTTCAACATAACCTTGTCAAGTTTCATGACTTTCATGATGATGATTTTAGCTACACAAAAATAACTTATTTGCTTTATAAAACAATTTCTTTTTAAGTAAAAAAGTTTTTTTTAATTAATTTTTTTTTATGGTATAAAGGGGGCAAACGAGGAGAGGGTAAGTAAATTTAGGTTTTTTTAGGTTCTCATATTATTGTACGTTTAGGTATTCTGACAAACGTAATATCTTCTCACAGGACGGCAGTAGACATGGACCGTCAGATGATAACGATCCTGTCCCCGCAGCCACGTCCACTGCCCAACACCGTGCTGCTGCTGTCGGAGCTGCAGTACATGGACAACCATTAGAGCGTGGCGCCCCCCCCCCCCCCCCCCCCCCCTCTACCTCCCCACCGCCTATCGCTACATGTTGCCGTACTACCCCTTGGTACAACAGTCAAGAGATAGTGTACACGATTTTAAATTGGTTTTGGTTCCGATATTGAATATTTATGAATACGAGTTAAAATGAAATACCCTAACTTCGAGAGTCCTTCTTCGCTTCTCGCGTCGCTATACGTAATCTCAAGCCCTAAATCCGAGTAGGCGGAAATGGTAGCGCACTGATCCTCACATAAAACTTGAACTTTTCATACAGATGAACAGGTTTTAATTCCTTAACTTTTATATCACAAACGATTCAATTTATTGTTTCCTATCACGATTACCCGAAATTAAAAAATGCTCAACACGGTAATACTTATTAATCACAAACTAATAAACTAAAAAAAGTACTTAATTTAAGGTAGTCAATCAAAACAGTAGATTTCTAGGTTTAAAATATTTTATTTCCCTGCATCATTAAATTTAACATCTTAAAGTAGAGCCAGAATTCTCATTCATTATCACTTTAATGTTTTTATTGATTTGATATCTTCAATTTTTTTTTTGATATCTTGACTCCACGAATGGCGTAGTACTTTAAGCGTTCACCTCGCCACTTCCTACTGCGTTGAGTGATAATGGGTCGGATCCAACATGGGACAACACTTTGTGTGATCCACAAATTGTTGTTCTGAGTCTGGGTGTTCTTTGTGTCCGTTTTATGTTTGTGTGTATGGACATATTCCAAGTGCGGGGTGCGAGACTTAAAAAAAAAATTAACATCAAATATAAATGATTTGACAATAGCTAGGTATGACGTCACGGTATAGTATTTCCTACAAAAATATATCGCGTCTATCGTTTTGAAGTTTAATAAAAATATACTGATTTGAATTGTCAGTCATCTACTCCATTGTAGTGAAACATAACTAAGTGTGAATAATATTACCAAAATGTATATAAAACACATCAATAAATGACAATTGGTCTCCATCCATAAATATTTTATTTTAATAGAATATATATTAAAAGTTCGTATTCAGTTGAGGTACAAAACTTACCGTTTTCTCAAAAGGGCGGGACAACTACTATCGGGAATGGTGGCAATGACGTGTACAGGCCGGGGTTTAAACCCCCAGTATCGTGTGATGCGATCCATAGGATCTCAAACTGTAAATATTATTTAAATTAGGTTTTAAAATAAATGAATTTTGTACAAAATTGAATTACGAGTTTTATTTCTCGTTATTTGTATGTGTGACTATTTGAATTTGCGAATAAAAATATTCATACGTGATAATGGCATTTTTATTTCCATGGCACCCTGAAATACTTACCTATCATAAAGTAAACGACAATTTTTTTTTTATTTGTTAATGTTCTATTTAAAATCTGAGCTGAAACAACATTGTAAATTATATACGACTTGCTTTTGTCCGCGTGTATGTCGGTGTGCGTTACCCCAGCAAAATAATGTCGAAAATGGTCATTTAAACGTTATAGATAATTAGTTGCTCCCCTTCTGTAATTGTTAGGCACATTTTTAAATTTACTTCACTTAAACTTTTTTAGTTATTTCAAAAAAACATTTCCTGCTGGGGTAACGTTTGAAACGTTACCGCAGCCAGACATTTTCTTTTTTAATTGTAATATTGAAATAAATTTTAGCTAAATAATTAGTTATCTGGACTAGGTAAATGTTACAACTTATTTGGTATTTGTATTTTCTTCGGCTGCGAAGTTATTCGAAATCCTGCTGGGGTAACGTTTGTGGGTTTGCTGGATCTCTGAAACGGGTAAGCGGATTGTAACCATCTTTTGTACATAACTTCTTAAGGATTAGTTTTAATTTGTTCGACAATAAAATAACAAAAATAATGGACCGTTTAAAAATTATTTAGGTAAGTATGAAAACACTTCAATACGTCCTAACACATTAAATAAGACCTCTAAAGACTTACTTGAAACGTTATTCTATTGCTTGTAACTACCTTCAAATGTATACGAATTTTCGTAAGAATACTGTAAGTGACTAAAAAGTTATGATGAGATGTAGCTCTCCACGTTCACGATCACAATGTGTGCGGCCTTTTTTGGCCACCGATAAACCTGTGTGTGGATATATAAACTGAATGTTATGGGAATAATTAGTTGTTTAGTTCAGTTGTCTACCTGTAGAATTTCAGCGTCGTACATATAATAATTTACGAGATAATTAAATAAAAGTCATTAGAAGGTGCAAGTCCGTGGTAATCCGACCATGTTTAGGTGGTTACAAAAAAGCGATCACCCAGTACATTGCGCTGTCTTTTAAAATGTTTAGTGTAATACACCTTACGATTTCGGTACAGTTGCGTACAGTGTTAAATACATTCAATATTTATTCATTATTATTACCTATTATTTATTTTGTTTTTTTCCCTAATTGATCTTAAGCACTAGTTTCTTTACTTAAAATTTATTTAGTCTTTTTTACTACCGGAGCTACAATCAACAGAAAATCTGCACTTGTCCGCTAAAATTATAAATATGTAGATACATGTATGAACGATTCACCTGACTGCAATAAAACGAAAATTTAAACCAATTTCATTTCTTTGATTTTTTTTTGTAAAGAAATAACACTAAAGTAACTGTATTTTATTTTGGGGTGTATAGAGCTTAGACTTGAATGCATCAAAATATTAAAAGCAACAAGTCATCTACAATAAGTTAAAATGGACCGAATAGTAGAAGAATACAGTTGTAAATTAGAATGCATCAACATTGCATCGCCCAACAGTCGTATATCCGTAAGAGTAGGTAATATTGTTCTGTGGTCTATACCTAGAACCGAGAATTATCTATACCTATGTAGGTACCTACCGTTAAGCGTTGAGCCCGTGACTGTTGATTTCTGTTAAAAACGAACAGTTGTTGAATGATATTTTGATATAATAACGGTAATTTAATTTATCGAGTGAAAGTGATACATTTTTATAGATAAAATTATTGGTCAGATAATATTTGTCAATCAAGAATCGCTGGAGGGGCGAAGGGATACTTCATTGTTTGCAATTTGCATCTAGTGCACTAAACTTGATCCTTAGGCAGATAATATACGTGTTGTAAAGTACGTGTGCGCTTCCGCTTTCTATTTTTGCAAATATTTAACGTATTCTTGAGAGTTCTTCAATATGTGTGTACCTAATTACTAATAATAGGCATTAATGCTAATTCGATTCAATTTAAGTAATTGTCAATTCTTGTCCTTAGGATATTAATTACTAATGCTAATATTGAAATTTCGTTCAGGGTGAACAAATTAAAAACGATCATAACTTTTAGGTAGGTATATCACTTATTACTAATTTTACATAAATAATTTATTTTATTATAATTTAACTCACCGCGATTTTGTGATCAAATATTTTATTTTCTCCAACATTATTACAGAAAAAATGCAATACAGAGTTTGTTCGCGATATGCTAGCCTAAGTCGATTCATCACTTAAAAAAATCCCCATCTATTCACAAAATACTTATTTACAACGCATACGTTACACTCTTCAAAACTTATCATTTCATTTCATATTTCTTAAATTACCTACACCTACCCTAAAATTAAACTTCAATTAACAAATACTACGCAGGTACCAATTCTATGAACAACTATAAACAATTCACCTAAACATTACGAGAAAGCAAAAGCATTCAAAACAATACCTAATCTCCCGGCTGATTACTAATTATGCAATAAACAATCCTAAATAAAAAATATTTAAAAAACATGTAGTTTTTTGTAACACTTATGTACATATCCGTAGTAAACTTGCAAATAATATCCTACATATTTTAAAAGCCAGCACAATGTACTGGGTGATCGCTTTTTTGTAACCACCTAAACATGGTCGGGTTACCACGGTCTTGCACCTTCTAATGACTTTTATTTAATTATCTCGTAAATTATTATATGTACTACGCTGAAATTTTACAGGTAGACAACTGAACTAAACAACTAATTATTGGCATAACATTCAGTTTACATATCCACACACAGGTTCATCGGTGATCAAAAAAGGCCGCACACATTGTGATCGTGAACGTGGAGAGCTACATTTCATCATAACTTTTTAGTCACTTACAGTATTCTTACGAAAATTCGTATACATTTGAAGGTAGTTACAAGCAATAGAATAACGTTTCAAGTAAGTCTTTAGAGGTCTTCTTTAAAGTGTTAGGACGTATTGAAGTGTTTTCATACTTACCTAAATAATTTTTAAACGGTCCATTATTTTTGTTATTTTATTGTCGAACAAATAAAAACTAATCCTTAAGAAGTTATGTACAAAAGATGGTTACAATCCGCTTACCCGTTTCAGAGATCCAGCAAACCCACAAACGTTACTCCAGCAGGATTTCGAATAACTTCGCAGCCGAAGAAAATACAAATACCAAATAAGTTGTAACATTTACCTAGTCCAGATAACTAATTATTTAGCTAAAATTTATTTCAATATTACAATTAAAAAAGAAAATGTCTGGCTGCGGTAACGTTTCAAACGTTACTCCAGCAGGAAATGTTTTTTTGAAATAACTAAAAAAGTTTAAGTGAAACAAATTTAAAAATGTGCTTAACAATTACAGAAGGGGAGCAACTAATTATCTATAAAGTTTAAATGACCATTTTCGACATTATTTTGCTGGGGTAACGCACACTATGTCGCGGTCAATAGTAGCCTATGGTTCTTCAAGAATCGAAGTATCTCCCTGCCGAATTTCATTAAAATCGGTTGAGCGATTTAGCCGTGAAAGCGTAACAGACCAGAGTTACTTTCACCCGTTGACACGAAGAGACTCGCATTTATACTATTAATGAGGATTATTTAAATTTCTTGAAATATGAAGAAATTAAGGTCCAGGATGTCCAGTTTAGTAGCGATTAGTATTAATAGTTACTCCGTGATTTGGTAACATTTAAAGTACCTATGTTTTTTCGTTAAAACAGCTCCGCAAGAGAAGGAAAACTACATAATGCCTAATAGTATAGCAGGCCAAAACCATATGTCCAGCAGTGGACTAATAAAGGCTGTTTATGATGTTTTTCGAGGTAGTAACTCCCCTCCAACACCGGAACTCGATATCTTCAGTTAGGCTTATCCCCTAGTGTGGAGAATGCCAGTTTTAGTAGAAAGTAGTTCCAGTGAGTTCTTCCATTAGCAGTGATAAGAACTGAACTGTCGACCATAATGATGATGGCACGGAACTCTGCTACTGTGATAGACAGTCAGTCATTATTACTTAACACTAATTCAGGAATAAAACAACGGTTCTATTATGTACTAGGATTTATTTACAAGAAATAAAGGTAGTCAAATTATTTACATTTGTAGGAAGACAGGTGTGTGTACAAATTCAGCAATGGAAGGATTATATTTACGTCCGTTAATAATGAAGTCTACTGCACGTTGTATGAGTACCACTTTTTATATAATTCTATTAATAATTCTTTACCTTATGATAGGTATTGGTATGCAATTTTAGATTTAAAGACACAAAGGTATTTGTATAAAACCATTATTGGAACGAAGTTACACGCGTTACACGCTCTGAGTGGATGGGAGTGAGACCGAAAAATGTGTAATAAGACTTTATTCATATTCCTTATATATAGCAAAGGTCTACCATAAAGCGAAAGGAACTTCGTTCCAACCGGGAGTCCATAGACCCCTCACGCCGTTTTTATTTCGTGTTTCTAACTTTGAAAATGACGAACTACCATACAACTTTCCAAAAACCTTTCTTAACGGGTGCTTACATCATAAAAAACATCAGCTGCCAATATTTCAAGTTAGTAGCCCCAGCGGTTTAGGCTCCACGTTAATGAGTCAGTCAGTCAGTCAGTCAAGGGCAGTAATTATATATGTTAGATAATGAATTAGTTAGCACACGGCCACAAAAAAAGCTTTAAGTTGCTATGTGCGTTAGAAAATAAGCCGGTTTATAAAGAAATGGCCGATTTTTAACCTCCTAAGTTTATGTTTGATTACGTACAGTCAGCAGCGAGTTCGTAATTAAACAAATACCTATGAGGTTTCCTTTCTAGGGTACACCTGGTTCCCCGGCTACTGGTACCCGAGACGGCGTGTGGTTTTTAGTCGGGTCGAGTCCGACATAGCCACCGGTAGGTGGCATCCGAGGGGATTCCCCACAGGAAAAAAAAAGCAGCGAGTTATATAATATTATATGAATAAAAAAGTGGAAGTTAACTATAAAATAAAAGACTAGATTTATTAAACTCTTCTATCGCATTAAATCCCTTTGGTATGAGAGGAGAATAAGCATTAAGATATTCTGAACACAATCTTCTTTTCGCTAGGTGGTTTCGGAATACAGAACTAGAAAAAAATATGTTAACATGATATAAAGGCATTTCTAAAAAAAATAGTATAACAAATAGAACGAGACAAATAAAAACAGTTGATTAAATCACTACTCGTATACAAGCGCGATACCTTTGCAGACAATTGGTTAAGAAAAACATTTAGAATAAGGTCGATTTTAGTTTGTCCGTAACGTATACAGTAGGGACTGTCCTATTACAATGGGTAGAAACTTATTTCAATGTTAGATAGAATATTATTATCAACTACGAATGATAAATCACTAGTAGTTGATAATAATGGTTGGTTCAGAAATTTAACAAGTACAACAAAAGTTTTTGAAATAAAATAAAATAGTACAATAACATTAAAAAGGCAATAGACAAATGATATTTCCCTTAAATCGATTTGTAATGAAAAAAGAGGACTATGTCAAAATAAGGGATTGATGTTATTTGTTTTTGCTGTAATCGTCTTTTTATTAATAAAGTTACATCAAAAAACTACGTGTCAAGTCTGCATGGGGTATGCCAGGATTGACAATAGATTACAGTATGTTGGGGAATTGATCCTGATTTTACACGATGATGATGTACAGACACACTCCAAAGGCGGATCCAACATGTCAAAGATTTCCTTTCTAGGGTACCCTGGTGCCCCTGTTACCGGTACCCGAGACGGCGTGCGGTTTTTAGTCGGAATTCCACATAACCACCTCACAGGTTTTCTGGTTCGTGGTATCCGAGGAGATTTCCGCACACAGCAAAAAGGGTTCCATATGAGTCATTTTTAGGAGGTCATTCATTTTAGGAGTCATCTGGACTAGGTTTAGTTCATACAATATCAAACAAATTAAACAGGTAATCAAATTAGAGCTTGCCGTGAGTCCAGAGAACTCAAAAATGCCTCCCCCCTTGAGTTAGTAGCTGGAACCACCCCCTGTTAACTTCACTTTCCACATTTTTAATATTAATGAAGAAGAGTTACGACTTGTTTCTTGTTTTCAAGAGTTTGTCCAAAGAGTTGGTATAATCTATGGGTTAACTTGAACATTCTTAGTTTCTGGATGGTGTCGGCTTTTCTCCTTTATGTGAGACTGCGCAAATTTGATAGCGATGCGCATGGCGTCCTGGACGAGCTGCTCACAGTTTATAAGTGATACCTGCATGTAAAACATACAATAATAAATTGACTAGATCTCTTCAAAAAACATTAAATATAAAAATTGTGTAATAAAAGAATTTCTAGAATCATCATAGCCAAGAACTCTCGATTAAATCATTATTCAAACACAAAAACTTAATCAAAGTCGGTTCAGACGTTTACGAGTTAATATAATACAAGAAGGTAAAGATCAGTTAATATTGATAGTAGTTAAACTGAGCAGAAGAACAGCACTGCAGCGAGAAGGGAAACTTGACACAAACCCTATACCGACCCATCTGGCCAGCGTGGTATAGTAGTCCAGCAGTGGACTATTGGAGGCTGTTGATTGATAGTTTGTGTTATTAATAATAAAACTTAAATAATTATAACAAATTGACACATCACACTCGACCGTTTGATCCTAAACTAGGCAGAACCTGTATTATGATAACCAGACTACTGATAAAAACATTTGTACAGGTTTATTGGTAACCCATGTTGTGATCATCACACAATTATTTATCCTGGATGGGAATCGAATCCACAACCACTGGCTTAACGGTTAGCATCGATAAACACTAAACCAATAGGGCAGTTGAATTGTGCTCAAGCTGTAATTGGCATTTTACCTTATAATACAATATTATTCAAAACTTTTGGAAGCTGCAGTTACATAAGTAATGTACTTACTTTGGTGGCTGTCATCTCGGAATAGGTGGTCGGTGACATATCTTGGCGAGGGGGCATCAGGTCAGCTTGGAACACTGGCACGATACAACTCAGCCAACTCTTCGCTGAGAACACTTCCGACGTCATATCCTATACATAATAGAAAAAAGAAGATGAAAGAGAATATGCACGTGACACCAAAATGGACAAAATATTTTTATTTGTATTTTTTATTGCTAAAAAAAGATACCCATACTATTATTTTTGAAATTTATTATAATTTAATAGTGAAATTTAATCATCAAAAATTGGCTTTTTTAAGATTCCCTCGCAAATTTCTAAAACGCAACGTTATTGGTTGATTAAGACGTGACGTCAACCTACACTGTCAAGAGTGTCAACAAGTTGTGTGTATTTGTAATATTTGGTTTCTGGTGATTATTTGTTTAATTTTAAGTTAATAACTAATACGTTTTCAGTGTTAAATTATTAAATTCCCGTGTAGAAAGACTCAACACAATGACTGAATATACTTTGTCAGGTGCAGTTTTGATATTATTTGGGCACAAAGGAACGGCACAATATTTCTAATATGTTTTTATTGGCTTTCCATGGTAATAAGTTAATTTTTATCACTCACTTTTTTAACTTTCAGAAACTTTGTGAGAAGTTCACAAAGTTTCTGAAAGTTAAAAAAGTGACATTGTTGACTCCGTTGTTGAAATTGAATTCGTCTGAAAGTGTAATCTGACGTAACAAAAAAAGCGCGCCAATATGGACGTGTTCAAATTGCCCCAAAATGATAGTGATTTTTATAATTTTTTTTTTGCTTAACGGTTTATATTTCGGATGTGTTATATTTATTTTTGGTAATGTAATAACTAGTAGAATCGTTAAAAAAAATAAAAAAATACATGCATATTCCCTATTGAGATTTCAGTTCACAGATGACGGTAAGAAAGGTTAAATTTATAAATACAGCTTGCTAAATGGCATATTAAATAGTTTTTTAATAGAATTAAATAATTTACGATTTAATTAAAGAAACAAACGATATTCCTAAAATCAATTAAAATTTAAACTTAACTTACTAGTTAACTTTATTTAAATTAAATTAAAACTATGACGCTTAAAAAAAACGTTTTTCAAGTACATGTAAAGGTGGCATTCAATGGGTTTAAGTAATTACATATTAGAAGTTAGTTAAGAAACGATACCACATCTTCCGTGTGATAACGGATTAAGAAGATGGAGTGTCACCACCCCTATTCATCCCGTGGGTGTCGTAGGAACCGACTGAGGGAACAGATCACGCAAGACAAAAGCAAAGCAAAGAGAAGGAAAACTTGAAACTATCCCTATACTAGCCCGTCTGCCAAGTGTGGTATACTAGACCTAAACCTTATTTCTAAGGAGAGGCGTATGTGCAGCAGTGGACTACTAATCGCTGTTGATGATAAAGCCATGATAACTCCAAAAAAAGTTATTACCAGTTACTACTAAAATTCCCGGGTTAAGGGCTCGGACTTCACGGTATCTGTCAGATTCAAATACAAGTCCGACCTTGACCTACTAGAGCTCCTGCATATATTCCCCAATCCACCCATATAATGTCTTCTTTCTACCAGTGCTTTCCCTTCTTACTAACCTTTTCTTTCATACACCTGAACACCTTCAAACACCTAAGCACCTATTTTAATGGGACTAATCCCACCCACACGCCCACCACTGTAACTCCTGTACACCAGGATCCACAGCAGTGACCCACGAACACACCGAGTTATGACACTCGGGGAGTCCCAGGAAGAAATTAAATTGTCTTGGAACCCGCAACGAAATTAATCAGAAGAAAATTGGAGGAGTTGGAAATACAGTAAATCCACTTCCCTACTTAGCAAAGCGGGAGACAAAATGAAGTAAAATAGGCATACACCCATTAAACAGGGAAGCACCAGGGCCACAAAATATTACGAGTCCTAGGTGAGATATATTTGATTTCTATAACATGTAAATCAAATATAACCTAAGGGGGTATATGTATGTATGTACTAGAAGAAATAAAAACTGCTCGCCAGTAGTAATGCTTTTATGATTTTTATTAAGAAACCCGATGCTTCGTCCCGAAATTATTTCTTATTTTATGTTTTGAATTTCGTTCATAACTTTGAACGATGACGAAATTCTATACAACCGTTCATCCCTTATTTTGCATAAGGGATTAAATTATTACATATGTAAAATAAGGGATGAACGGTTGTATGGAATTTCGTCATCGTTTAAAGTTAGAAACATGAAATAAGAAATAATTTCGGGACGAAGCATCGGGTTTCTTAATAAAAACTCATAAAAGCAAATTTCAAGTTTGTAGCTGGAGCAATTTAGGCTCTGCGTTGATGAATCAATCAGTCTAGGCAAATCATTTTATATGTTAATTGTTAGAACCGAAATTGGTTGTAATCTACCTTTAAAGACAGTTACGACCTAGTACGGATACCAGTCTCCCACAAAGGAATTAAACGTACTCTCAATTTATTTATAAGTTTTAATTTTAAGGAACCTTTGTGGAAGAGAAATAAACTTTATTATTATTTACTCACAGGTGGAACAGTAGCTCCAGCGACTATCACCCCTCCAGCGCACCCCAGCACCAGCGTGGGTAAGGCGTGCTGAGTCTCCAGCACTTTCTGCACTCCGGTGCTCTGCATCAGGTACGAACATCGCAGGAAGTGGACAGCGAACTTGCGACCTGACTGGACCGCCTCGGACACTGCGTCATTGACTTCTGTGACAGCTATTGTACTGTAAAGATGAAATATGCTTACTTTTTTGCCATATACGGCAGACGGGTCACCTGATGGTAAGTGATTACCGTCGCCCACGGACACGTGCAACTCAAGAGACACAAGTGCATTGCCGCCATTTGAGTCTCCCCAGAACCAGGGGGCTGAGGGCCTCATCCTCAGCATATCATCACTCCGGTTAACAGCGGTTTTCAGTGAGGCCGTGGTATCAATCCGGCCGAGCCGAAACCTCCCCTCCAACCCCAACCCCCCCAAGGGGAGGGGAGGGGTTGGACCTCAAGTAAATATTGACAAACTTCTAATAAGATTTTAATTTAACTAACGAGTGAAGATCTTCTTAATCTTTGCTTTAATTTTATGATAATCATCCACAGTCTATAATAGCCCACTGCTGGACATAGGCCTCGGAAGAAATTTTCTAGAATAAAGGTTGTGGCCTACTATACCACGTTGGCCATATGGGATGGTATAGGGTTTGTCTCAACCTTCTTTTAGCACTGCTATTGTCCTGCGTATTTCCCTTAGTTAGTTAGGTTCTAACGACCCAGCGTTATGAATAAGGGTGGTGACACTCCGTATTCTTAATCCAACACCACAAAGACATATAAGAATAAACAGATGCATAAAATTTAAAAATAAATATACTCACTGTAGCGCCATGTCATTGTTATTAAGCTCTCTTTTCTGAAACGTGTCCATCAGCTTCAGACACTCTGCGTATTCCCCATAAGGGGCACCTTTACTCCCACACAGCTCTGTGAGGCTGCTCTTTATATTTGCTACTTCCTCCTTTCTTCTCTCTGGATCAACAAGTTCTATCACTTGTTCAAGTTTTTGCGCTCGGCAGAATAGTTCGCGGGCCTGTGGTACATGTTTACAGTTAAAAACTATCACATAAAGCCATCTTGGGAGAGTTCGGTATAAATAGGCCGACTTGAGAGCTTTTTTTACTGGTCAACTCCTGCGGGGGACTTTAAAAATATACGTGAAACGGACACAAAGAACACCCAGACTCAGAACAACAATTTGTGGATCACACAAAGTGTCGTCCCATGTGGGGATCGAACCCACAATACTCAGCTCAGTAGAAAGTGGTGAGGTGATCGCTTAAACCACTACGCCATCCGTGTTGTTGCACACACTGCAAAATCTAAATCTCCACACCCCACGATTTTGAGGAGGAGCCCCCCCCCCTCCTCCTCAAAGGGGGGTTAATCAAAGATTGCCAAAGAATTTGTGACTTGAGTTACAGGTGTCCATGGACGGAGGTAGTCACTTACAACCCTACGAAATAGAAACAACCCTGCAAGAGTCGTACCTTCAAAACATCCTCGCCAGTAAGTGCGTATATGGTAGGTGTGTGCGAGCCGGCTCCCTTGACCGCGACGATGCTCAGCTCCTCGATGAGGCCCGCGGCGGGCACGTGCGTGCCGCAGCACAGCTCCCTGTGGAACCACTACGAACTTTATATACACTGCTATACTCTGGACATGCGTTTATTTCTTATTGACATCTCAAGGTGCCTACTATAGTCCATCAACGTCGTGCGCGACCGTCCTGCGGGGTGACAGACGGTGGCGGGGACGAGGTACTCAAGATGTCAGCGGGTAGCGGGTGGTGTAGCGGGGAAGGGAATCGTGTGTAGCCGTGTGCTAGAATGACGCGCTACCTCGCCCCCGCCACCGTCTGTCACCCCGCAGGACGGTCGCGCACGACGTTTTACGAGGCCGACGAGGCTTTTACAGTCATTTTTAAGATATCTCAATCAGATTCTATAGTTCTAACAAACTACAAAAAAACAATTTTTTTTATTTCCATAAAATAAGTAAGTACCATAAAAATGATTTTAAATTTTACATTTCCTAATTTCGCGCGAAATTAGACGAAAACACTAGATGCAGAGGACGCCGTATTGCTCTGTGGTCATAACGTCAGAGGGCCTAATGTGAGCGTCAGTTCTTCGTTTGTGAAGATTTCAGTGCGGGCCAATCGCAACGCTGAAAGCGGTCACCGTGACGATCGAGTTGGTGTGAAATAAACTCACACTAGTCCCTCAGTTGGCAGTAGAAACAAATACGATCAGCTGACTGATCTTTTTTTAGTTTACACAGCCGTATGACGTAATAACATGGCAGCTAATAATTCAATAATATCTTCTTGGATTTTTTCTTAATTAGAGTAATTGTAAAATTAGTTTCTGTTACCGAGGCAAATTAAATCAAGGTTGATTTGCTGAACATAAAGTATACTCACTTGGATAATAATGGTGAACCAGCTGTGACTAGTCTCAACCCAACCTCCGGGTATATTTCACCAGGTATTGTCACCACCGAGTCTTCTTTTGATAACTCCACACTGTCCACTATGCGAGTTGTTACGGGAGCATTGCTTTGAATTGACTTCCTGAACAAAGTAAAAAAAAAAAAAACTGTACAAGTTGTCTATTAAATTGTCTTGTTTCATAAATAACTCTACAAAAATATCACTATGTGCAATGACCCTAAACTATGCTAAATTACAATAAACTACATATTTCGTCCCCATATTTTCAACCATTATAGGTGATATATTCTCACCAAGCGGGACCATCTAAAAAATTAATAATTAAAATATTTATAAAAAAAAATTGATTCTATTACTTAACTTAACTTCTATCCTTTCTGTGTATAGGTTTACACCGATAGGGCTCGGTGTAAACCTATACATAGAAAGTAAAAACCATTTCATTACTGATGCCTATAAACTCACCTAATAAGATTCTGTGCTTCCAATATCTTCCCATGTGACAACTTCTCTCCGTAAACCACCAGACTCAAACTCAGTCCATTCTCTGTAACACTGGACCCAATCGGGCACACTACACTATTCGGTAACACCCTCTTCATGGCCGCATTCAACAAATGAACAGCTGTATGATTCTTCATCAATTTCAGTCTTCTCTCTGTGTTCATTTCTAACTCTACAACATTATTGCACTTCACGAACCGTGTACCCCTACCTATAGCAAAATAACCCTTATGGAACACGAATCCTTGAATTTTAAACACACTATCCACTTGTAACGCCACATTATCGTTGATGTAAATCATTCCATCGTCTGCACTCTGCCCACCCTCTTCGCAATAGAAATTTGTGTCTTGTGTGACCAAGTAATAAGGTCGATTTTCACATGGATCCAGCATATCTATAAAGGTCAAATCTTCGTTGAGAATACCTATTAATTTTGTTTTTAGAGGCTTGAATTCTACTTGATTGTTGATAAGTTCATATTCATATTTGGGACTATCATTTGTAGACTTGTAACCTTTTTCTTTTAATACTGCAATGTTTTGGGCAAATTGATATGATTTATTGTTGATTTGTTCTTTGTAAGCGGTCTTATGCCTGCTCTTGTGTTTGGTCAGAAGTTCCCAGAAACCTTTTTGGTCAATTTTCATTTTGTTTAAGTCTGCAATTCGTTTTAGGAGATCTTCTTGAAAGCCGTGTGTGTCATATAGTTTGAAGACTAGTTGGCCAGGTATTAGGTTTGTGGGGTGTTTTGACATTGCCTGTAAAAAGAAGGTTTTTGTAGTTTATAATGATGCAGTCGGATTTAATTAAAATTAATATGCTACTTAAATACAGACTAAATTATTACATAATCATTGTTTTAACTTTCAGTCATAACTCTTCTAGCACTGATTGATGGCATTTACTATTGATAGTGACCTGTAAAACGTAAATATAATTTGTGGATAATGTTGGTGATCAAATATGTTGTTTATTTATTTTTTTGTATAGAGTTTATATTTTTATTTAAATATCTTTTTAGAGCCAGCCATTTGTTATATTATTAATCAGAGTCCAGAACTGAAAACATGAACTTCAGTCTCATATATGTTTGAAAAGTCCCCTGCGACGCAGAATACATTCTTAGTGCGGGAGTTGTCTTTAAAAAAGTCATAATTAGTTTTTTAACACATTATGTAAGTGCAGGGCGGCACTTGAAGAAAGTGGCTGGCTGAAAGTGGACTCCCTAAGACCGGGATAGTTGGCGCTTTTTGGGGAATTCTTTCAGCAGTGGACGGCGACAGGTTGATGAGAAGTATATCGTATTGTAGTATTACTGAGGCATGCATGAATGATGACCGCAAAAGAACTGCTAATCTTAGAACATTTTTGATTATCTTACCAGTTAAAGAAAAAACAGCAAGGTCGGTCCATACGAGGATACTGTGGGAGAGCTATGCTCCGGCAAATATGGGCAGACTTGACTGGAGTAGCATTGTTTCGTTGATTTTCACTGAGTAAGTGAGTTTACTGGAGCTCAAACCCCCTGATTCTGAGGGAGGCGAGGGAGCCGAAGGCTCAAAGGCCGACAACGCACTTGTCTATAATTGCAGGTTTCTATGGGTTCGACCGGTTTGCTCGTTTGCCCCCATACCATAAAAAAATCCTTTTAATTTCTATGTGACTTCATGACGTCACAGACCGACAGACACAAATACACACGTTAGAAAATTATAACTTACATCTTTAAACTCACTATATCCTAACGTAAAACTGGGCAGTTCAACATCGTTCAACGCCTCCACTTCAGGGTACTTCTGCACCAGCTCTTTCATCTTCTTCGTAAGGCCAGCCTTCATCTTAGCATACGCCTGTTCCTCGTGTTCAATGATAAGTTTAGCTTCAGCCTCCTTAGCGACCAATTCAGGATATGTCGACCCTAGGGTCTCAGCGACCTGGTTGTACAAAATACTTAGCAATCGGGGATTTCGGAAAACGTCAGTGGATATCTTGAAGGACTTTCGCATAATCTGCTTTAAGTTCAAGCTGTGAAGGAAAAACACTGTATTTACTTCTAGCAGAGAGGAACTAAATGGATTAATTCTTTATTTTGTATAATAACTAGCGACCCGCCCCGGCTTCGTATGATTAGAATGTATACAACACATTACAAAACTTTGGAATACTCGTATTTTCTCTACTATAATATGTAGAAATTCCCAACCTCATTAAAACACTTATAGGGGCTTTTAAAGGGTAGTTTTGAAAAATTAGTAAAAACTTTTTTTTTTTAATCTTCTTCTTTTCTTCTTCTTTTTTTTTTAATTGACTGTAAGTTTGAAAATGCTATTACCAAAAAAAAACGATATTTCATATAAATTGCCCACCCCATTTTGCACCCTTAGGGGGGATTTAAAAAAAAAAACATCTGTTAGTGTACGTACACCCATGTCACCTAAGGAAAATTTGTAAAAAAAATCATGCTTCTAGACCCAGCGGTTTTATCAATCAGTCAGTGAATCATACTGTCAGTTTCTTCTTCTATAGATATAGATATTTCTACGTTATACCACAATGCTACAAAACAATAAAATGAAATAATTGTCTCCATTCTTAGCTTGTTAGGTGCTGGTTCTTATCATTTTTTTTAAGACATATAGGGACAAACGAGCAGAAGGGTCACATGACGGTAAGTAACTATCCCCGAACATGGACACCTGCAACTAAAGAGTCAAGTGCTTGGCGGAGAGCGGAGGGGGGAGGGGGGAGTGTATAAATGATATTTATTTCTGTAAGTAAATCTTTTCAGATATTTTTACAAGTCGGACTTTACAGCTAAATGAAGCCGGCATTTCCTAAGACTCACCCTGAGAAGAAACGCCGAAACAAACCAGAGGCCTTTTTTTAGTCCGTAAACAAAGTTAAATAAAACTGTGCGAGTACAGTATAGGGTTTGGGTAGGCCTTTTAGGCCTTTAGGCCTTGTAGGCCTTTTTTGGAAAGGACCATAGTTTTAAGTCGGCCTGTCCATACAGACGGTAGGGACGGGACGGGTTAGAGGCTTGGTTCCGGTCCTTCACTCACTGAAAAGCAATGTAAGAATTGCTTCATCCACCGGTCTTCTGTGTATGGCCGGTCGATCCGGTCGGGTCCGGCCGGATCCATTTCATGAATCGAATAAATAAATGCATTCTTTCCCCGTGACACCACCAAATTAGCCCCCCGTGGTGTCATGGAGACTCACCTATTCCCCTTGACAACCCCCGGTCTTGTCAGGAGGAATGGTCTTAATCCCCATGACACCCCCGTGGTATCACGGGAATTTAGATATTCCCTGTGACACCATCGAGTATTAGTGATGCGAGTTTTGCATGCTCCAACTGGGTAGAACAATACTGCTTAAAAGTTATACCTAATTAAGTGGAATTTAAGGATGAACCTTGAAATTAATGGCTTTTTTTAATTATCTTAGGTCATTCTAAGCTAGGCTTACTATAAAGTTCTAATATGTACGAGTAGGTGGTGAGGAATTACGAATTTAATCACCGAAATTGATAAAACGAATTGCTGTGATTTTACATGGGGTGGCGTTAATTCGGGACTAAATTTCACAATGTTTTTAGGCAATCTGAAATAAAATTAATAATATATCTCCAGTGTCTATAATCATAAGTCCAAGCAGCATGATTACAATACTTTGCATTGGGTTTTTAAAAATCATTTGCTATAATTAACTTTTATTTACCTGGAGGCAGGAAACACTCCATCGGCCAGACACACGCTGATCATCCTGGCGTGGTCGGCGAGGCGTCGGTACGCGCAGTCTAGCTCGGACGAGTTATCAAAGCTGCCACCGTATGAGGCCACTCCTTTACTGTTCTGGACAATATGTGTAGGAATCAATACTTCAGTGGTATAAACCTTTAGGAGCCATTTGAGAACATCACAAGTTAAAGGGGAAGGGTGTCAGGTAGTTTTTGAGAAATATAAAATTGCAAAATATGTGACGTAATTTATGGATGACCCTCTATATTAAATATATGATTTATATTTATCCATGACTTCTTGAATTCGTAGATAGATAAAAAGCTAATTTTTGGATCAGAGAATTAAGCGCTCCGTTGCGCTACTATCTGTCTGAGGCAGTACCGAAGGTTTAAGAAAGTAAGGCTCAATATGAATTACTTTTAAAAGCTGCAGTTTTAATTCTTAAATCGTCGATTAACACATAACCGATAACTTTACAATCCAGTCAATCAAGCTTTTTGCCATTCCAAAGAAAAAGCTTTACATAATATCTGCTGAACATTTTATCCAGGATTCCAAACCCGTTTATAAGATTTTTAGTTCTCATAGCATATACCTTCTCTATAGCCGTGATGATGGGCTTGAACAAATCCGTGTCATAGTTGGATGGCACACCTTGCAGTATCTTCGCCATGCGCTCCAAGCCCATACCAGTATCGATGTTGGAACGTCCCATACCCTTCACTCGTCCATCTTCTTCTCTGTAAAGACAAAGGGAATTTATGAAGCTTTTGATTGCTATCCCTACTCCAAAGATTGCAATTGTAGTTAATTATAGGCTAGTTCTAATTGTATGATCTTTGGAACCTATGAAATACGGTCCACGGTCTCACAGAAAATCTGTGTTAAGCAATACGGTCCTTGCTTTTCATAGAGTTAGTGAAGTTACCGGAGCCCAGGTGAGGTGGTTTAAAGCAATAAATAGTCTGTTTGCGATAACATATATATGTTTTATACTAGCTGACCCGCGCAACTTCGTCTGCGTCTCTCAAGTAATAAATTTTCTCCGTTTTTGAAACATTCTTCATTGGTGCTCCGCTCCTATTGCTCTTAGCGTGATGATATATAGCCTATAGCCTTCCTCGATAAATGGGCAATCTAACACTGAAAGAATTTTTCAAATCGGACCAGTAGTTCCTGAGATTAGCGCGTTCAAACAAACAAACAAACAAACAAACTCTTCAGCTTTATAATAATAGTATAGATTAGACATTTATAAAAGCCACACATGAAAGAGTTACAAAAAGACGCAAGAGTAGATTAGAAGGAGAATCGAACTAAAGAATAAAGACTAAATAATAGAACAGACAAGCAAAGGGAAAATCTGGCTAGTGCACAAAGGGCAATGGAAAGGAGCATGTTGGGACTCAGACTTAGTGATAAAATTAGAATTTCTGAAATAAGAAGAAAAACTAAAGTTGCAGATATATTATAACTCGCATAGATCATTTAAAATGGGGTTGGACAGGACATATGCTACGTTCCAAAATAAATAAATGGAGCAAACAAGTCACCTTATGGTACCCAAGAGGGGACTGTAGAAGAAAGGGGCGTCCGAAAACTAGATGGATGGACAATATCCGCCTAACTTTGGGACCTTACTGGGCTAGAGTAGCAGAGGATAGAGCTCAGTGGAGAGAGCTGGGGGAGGCCTATGCCAAGAGGCGCACCGAATTGCGAGACATAATATAACAAATAGAACTCGGAAATATGTATTGTCAAATCTGTAGCGAATTCGGAAGAAAAGGGCTTTATTATTATTAATAGAACTAGGTACAGTTTTTACGCAATGTTACGTCGTATAAGGTAAAACACACGCGATATGAGGGATGCAATCGTAAAGGGATCGACGGACATACAGTAAGCGTCGAAGTGTTTATACGACTGGCCGCGGCGCGGGCGCAAGCCGTACCAAACCGGTTATGCATTCCTCATATTTTACATTATTATATATTTATAACAGAGTTTTGTCTGTCTATCAATGTACGTAAATATTATGTATTCTACATATTAATAAAGCTACTAGTTAGTTAACTTACAGATAGAAGCTTAATTAAATTAATTAAAATATAAATATAGCTATGTTACAATGTAAAGAAAGAAGATAACAGATAGTCTCGGATTGGCATTGGGACTTCTATTGCGTTACTCGACTATGGTTGTGCTCGAAGAGGACTAAGTCACGTACACTCTCTTCCAGTAGTCTCTCAGGTCAGAGACACAACTTTTAAATCGTAAATAGAAAATTTATATAGCTTCAACTGTAATAATATACATCAACGAACCTTATAAAATTAATAAAAACAAGGTTCCATATTTCTGTGAGGGAACCGTCTGGATTGATGTAATGGATTTCAGTGCAAGGACCGCACGGGCCACTCACTCCCATTTCCCAGAAGTTTTCTTTCGCTCCAAGAGACTTGAGTCTGCTTTCTGGTACACTAAAAATTTAAAAATACACACACAATATACCACACACAATATAACACAATAATGCATGGATATCTTTAACAAGTTACAATAAAAATTTAAGCACAAAAAGCGCATCATAGCAAGTGCTTTTTTAAGTACGAATAAGGAAAATGCAAGGGAGTATTGATTACATGGCAGCCGTTGTCAATCAGGTGTTTAGTATCACTGATATATATATATATATATATAAAAAGTTAAGTTGGTTTGTGTATGTTTAAAAATTCAATAAGATTGAGTTCAAATTTTGATATGAAATACAACACTTTTATCACAGATAGCTTTTATCTATCTTTGCAGCAGTATTAGAGGATATATTGGTAGGAAATAAAACAAATTTATAATACCCAATAGCCTTCCAGATATCTCTGCATTCCTTATCTTCTACCAAACCTATAGCAGCACATCCTTGGAAGTATGTAACCACTAGATTTTCAGGTTTCAGCCGGTAAGGACCTAAAAGTAAGTCCCATGCCATTTTACATGCTTCTTTCTGTAATTAAAAATAAATAAATTGTACAAGTACTTTTCAGTAGTACCTATAATAATATAAATTAGAACTGTCATTTTAATTTTTAAATTTTAATATTTACCATTGAAAGTAAAAAAAAAATCACATGATAAAACAATATGCCATAAAGTTAACTGAGAACAATAGACTGCGCAAGGACAGCAAACACTGGCCAAATAAATATAATGTAATTTTAGTCTTACCTTGTAATAATCACCAAAAGACCAGGAGCCAAGCATTTCAAAGAATGTGTGATGGTATCCATCAGTGCCTACTACATCCAGATCATTGTGCTTGCCACCCACCCTCACACATTTCTGTGAGTTTACCACTCTGGCATATGGAGGCACCACTTTCCCTAGAAGTACACCTTTGAACTGCAATATTAAAATTCAATTTAATTAGTATAAAAGATAAATTTGTTTTTATTCTATAAAAGACAAATCCTGCATTAGGAATATAATCTGTGTTGCGGGAGACTTTACAAACATACATGAAATGGACACAAAGAACACTCTGACTCAGAACAATTTGTAGATCACACAAAGTTTCGTCCCTACAACCCACAAGACTCAGCGTTGTAGCCAGCAGAGTGGCTTAAACTGTTACGCCATCCATGCAGTCATACATGCAACATATGCAACAACTATATTATTTTAACGGGAAAGTATATACTAATAAAACAATAGAATAATCTTATCTTGGAATAATTAAGGTCATGTGAAAGAATACCTAATGTAAAAGAAATATATAATTAAATTCAATAAACCCTCAACAATCTTGAATTTTATTCAAATATATAAATAGACTAAAATAGTAGAATAATTCCTTGGCTCATGCACAAGTCTTGTCAGATGTAAACAGTCACTTCACTATTTACATATAATTATATTACTGTAAAGCAAAATACTAACATACTCTAGTGACTGTTTGGGATCCAACGACCTTGTGTGACATGTGTCAAATTATAATTATTACTTTACATTTATGTTTTGTTGACAATCTTTAGATATTTTTAATCAAGAAAAAAACATTACCCCAAAATAAATGAAATTAAAAACTTCAGCTATTTTCATTCTATAATTTCATTAAAACTTATAATATTTCATTAATACATATTTAATTATTTGAATATCATTACAGCCCTAAGATATTTGTATGGCTAGTGTATGCTCTATAACTATGGAACATCATTTCGGTGGGGCTACTAAAACTAAATTTATTCCACTACATGGTTTATTTATGCTAAGAAACAGGTGCCTGAAAATCCCTGATTAATCGCACCTTCTCAGGCATAAAGTTATTGAATAAGAAGAACAAGAAATATTTAATTTGTGCCAATAAATTCAAACTGTAAATATGTATTTATGTCAGTTGACTAACCATAGTACAAACCCAGCTAAGTTTGGGACGAGATGGCGTTGTTGGAATGTGTTTATTAATGTGTTGTTGTTGTATCGAATCAGTATCTATTTAAAGGAGTGCAGCTATTCACAAACCAAAAATAATTCAGGCATTTGAATAGGGAATGGTTATAATGTTTAACTGTTTGGAACTCTATAATTCATGATAACTTGCAATTGATAGTTGCACTGAAAAAGTAAAATTTAAACTTTGAACAAAATTATTAAATTCATACTATAAGTGCATTTGTTTCCTAGTTATTTTTTTAAAATATACTAAAAAGATGTGTAAAGGTAGAACGATATCCCAATATTTATATAGTGACTTACCTGATTCATTCCTGCATTCACGAATGGAACAGTAGGGTCATAAAGAGGGACTACAGAACTAGATTTGACTTGTTTATGCCCGTGATTCTTAACAAAGTACTCTATAAAACTATTCCTTATAAAACTGCTTGAAGAATTAAAACGAAAACCAGGAGCATGAAAAATTTTTCTTTTCGTTACCGGTAGTCGAATCATTTTAGGTTAGGTTATTAAGGAAAATCTCAAATATTCATACGATTTTACTCGCCCTGGAATTAAAGTTTTCAAAGTTTATCGAAAGTTATTAAAGACACTTTAATTCTCTATAAAAACTCAGCGACTTTCCGTTTCTGCATTCGCTGTCATTTCATGAACTGTCAGTCAACAGGAGTAAACTTCAAATATTTTAATTGTCAAATTCTCTTACTAACCAGCTGTTAGTCAATCTGAAAACACCCATGGCGAATTATTTTTAACCAACAATAACGCAAGTGTAATTTGAATTTGAAAATGAAATTTTCTATATTAATATGAGATTGCATAACAATTACTCTAAATATTTTCTTTCTATCTTCTTCTTTTATTATCTCCTTTACATAGTATAAAATGAGTCGCTTTTTTTCTTGTACTCTTAGATCTTTCGAACTACGCAACGGATTTTAATGTCGTGATTCACCAATTGAAAGAGTGATTCAAAAAGCGGGTTTATATGTGTAATACATGCATATTATTATAGATTTCCGCTATCGTTCGCAAAATTTTCATCCTCATTACCTGAATAGTTGGCGCTCCACTACTGTGCGCTTTTCGAGACACTTTTTGCCCCGCACAACCAATCTGTGAAACGGGTTATCGTCTGCGGTATTTCCTAACAGGGCGGCAACGCGTTTGTGACTCCTGAGTTGCAGACGTTCATGGGCGGCGATAGTAACTTTCCATCAGGTGACCCGTCTGCTCGTCCGCCCCCTCTAACATAAAAAAAAGATGAAATTCGCGAATTTCAAAGATTTGAAATGTGAAGTCGTAAAAAATGATTTTGTGTGCTTACTTTGCAAACGTTGGCTAAACCTTACGAGATAAATAAAAATAATGTACTATGGCATTGTATATCTTAAAAATATCTACAAAAAAGTGCTGGATGGTACATGTCTATCTCCTAAAAATAATAGGTAAAATACCCCATTGTGAGAAATACAGTATTATTCCTTATCCAAATAAATAAATTTTATACGTTGTGAATTTAATGCAGATCAAAATTGCCTTTTGATATCAGAGATTTAAAATTATAGGGCAAAAAAGCGGGTGGAGCGAACCTATAAATATTGTATTTAAGATGTCCTGTAGTACCTATAGCGAAGCCGGAGCGGATTGCTAGTGTTAAATAAAAATAATTAAATATTATTGTAAATCAACATATTAAGTCACTGTAACAGTAAGATGCGTGACAATTGTAAAATTGTTTAAAAAATTATAATAACAGGTAACATCATTGTGATTTGTGGTATTCCACACTCTTGCTCCCTTCTAAAACTTCTTAGAATAGTTAAGGATCCCAGGATTAAGTTAGCTCAAAATGGATCAAAATGGGCATATTCTTCTTTAACTACTTGAAAGGAATGGGTTGTAAGGCCTAAGTCACGTTTTTGTAACCTAAGTTTTTGACCATTTAGACTTAACTACGAGTATAAGTGCTGTCAGGAGAATGGAGTATCTTTTGCCTGTTTCTATAACCCTTACTTTTCAATGTTTTGTTTGTTGTACTTTTGTGTACTTCTTAATATTTAATAATCTACTTAATTAATATAATATCTTCAACATCTTATTATAAATTTAAATTTTTATCAAAATTCGAATAGATTTTACTGGTATTTCTAAGGTATGGATCATTAACAAAAATTACGAGAAGTTTCATAACTAGAAATCTTTTACTATAGTTAGAATCGAGGCATTCCGAGGTACAAACCTAATTGCACTTTTATAAAACTACCAACAATTATAAAACTAGAATAGAACAAATAATTTTTAGAAACCATTTAATAACATTACTCTCGCTAGTACCTATTCAAAGTATTTTCAGCAATCAGGCTGTCTCTAAATAGAGTGTCAAAAAATAGTGACAGATATCTGTCATTATTTTGACACCTCTAATCTAAGTATAGGAAATTATTCGAGAAAAATAATTAAACGAAATTATTTTATTAAAGGAATACCATAACTTATAGTAGTTTAGTACACGTGTACATTTATTAGCGGTGTTGACTGTAAGTTTTATGTCAATAAATAAACACTTAAAATTATATAAATAGTATCAAAATAGGGACACGTAAGTCATTTCGTTTTATACCGATGCAAGTTTATATATTGAAGATATGAGGAATTTAGAAGTTTATGTGTTTTGTTTATGTCTAATATTAACCACTGCCGAGCTTCTGGGACCTGAAGCTCGGAAGAAAAATGAAAACAGTGAAGATGAAGAGGAAGTGGTCAGTGAAGATTTGGATACCAAACAAAGTAGTCCAGAAGCCAGTTATTTAAAAGAACTTACCGAGGCTATGAACAAGGAGATAGTTACTTTACAAGAGTATGCAGATGCTCTTAGAAACTCAAAGGACACAGTTAAGGAGGATGATAATAACAAAGGTATTAATAGACATTTTTTAATTTAATGCAATTGTTGTGGTAAATAGGCTCTAAAACCTGTATATCTCAATATCTTAATTTTTTTTTAATTTTTTATATCTGGAAAGAGTAACATTGTGTGATCCATCATAGCAGCTTTTTTAATGAGATAGTCTTAGTGTGTTAGATCTTAGTGTGTTAAGAAAATATAGGTTTTTTTTCTTCTATACACATTTTGAGAAAATTCTTATAAGATTACTTATTTAACAATTAGATCTATAAGAATGGGTTTATTCCAATAGTAACTATTTTATAGATATATGATTTGATAAATACAAATCTGCTCTGTTTATATAAATTATGTATATTGTAAACAGAGGATAAAAATGACAATTATAGCACTTGGTAAAATTTGTTATTTTAGTTTGTAATTTCGAATGAATGTTGATTTGAATTGAACGCATATTGCATTGGATTTAGTCTGTAAGGATATTGTAAGAAATAAATAAAATAATATTCTTTTCATAAAATAAAAATAACATCTAAGTAGTATGTTTTACTATGGAAGTAGCTTTCAATTCTTGAAAACAAGTGCCTCTACATATTTTATTTTTCAATTGCAATTTATCTAAGAGAAACAAAGTTTATCAAGAAAAAGATAAAGTGACATTCATGTTTAGTGTGTGATGACCAGAACTCAGCTTTTGAATTTGAATTTGTTAAAATTATTGACCAGTATAACTTGTGTAGTGACAGACTAAGAATATGGAGTGTCACCACACCTATTCACCTCATGGGTTGATATAAATAGCATATTAACAATCAATGGCATGATAAAGTACGCCTTCCTAAAAGGCAGGCAATGCGTTTGTGACTCCTGAGTTGCAGACGTTCATGGGCGGCGATAGTCACTTTCCATCAGGTGATCCCCTCTGTTCGTCTGCCCCCTCTAACATAAAAAAAAACAACAGATGTGTTAATATTTACCAACAAAGGTTATTCCCTATTCATGGGAAACATCATTGCTATAGAAAGGTCTACAGGTCTGTATTGCTCCATCTTCATCTGTCCTAGTAAAAATTATAAGGCCCATGTGAGAATTTTAATTGTGACTGCTGAATTCCTACTCTTCGTTCAGTAAACAGCGGAATATTATTCTTTCAGATAGTCACTTGGATCAAATGGAGTATACCCTGAAGCTGCTAAAGAAAAGCCTCTTAAGGCATTCAGATACAGCCTGGATACATAATCCAAAGACTGGTGAAAGTATTGAAAATGAAATTGAGGTAAATTAATATTATGTTGTAAGTTTGGAATTATTTGTTTGAAAGTTTTTCTGTTTCATTATTTTGATGGAATGAACAGCTATTATTTTTTTTTGCTTTTAATACATCTTCACCATTTCTAAACCTATTTAAAAAAATGGTCGTACTCCTGGTTGATACCATTTAGATTTGAAGGGAATGTACCACTTTTAAAGGGGGAAAACTAAGCACTGAGGAATAAGGCTTATTACTATTAACCATGAATTTAGTTTGATGATTTGAAGCTCTGTTAAATTTAAATTATTTATTTGAAGTTTTAACTGTTAGATAATTTTAAATTTAAGTTTAAATTTAATGATTTCTAAATTTTATAATTCTAATAGTGTTTCATGATTGTGTTTGCAGAAACTACAAGAAAATCCTCAAGATATCCTTGACACTCTACCGCCATTGCCAGAAGAGGAAGAGGTAGAACTAACACCCGAGTTGAAAGAAGGTAAAATCCTCTTTCAACTTTTTTGTAGATGTTCAGTGTAGATGTAGATGTCCTTAAATACGAAATGTTATTTAAAAAATAGGATTCAACGATTCGACGTGTCCAAGTGGAGCTAGCTGTACCTCGATCTTTGAGTTTCTTTGCAAGATAAAATCTATACTAATATTATAAAGCTGAATAGTTTGTTTGTTTATTTGTTTGTTCGTTTGAAAGCGCTAATCTCAGAAACTACTGGTCCGATTTGAAAAATTCTTTCAGTGTTAGATAGCCCATTTATCGAGGAAGGCTGTAGGCTATATATCATCACGCTAAGACCAATAGGAGCGGAGCACCAATGAAGAATGTTTCAAAAACGGAGAAAATGTATTACTATTGAGAGACGCAGACGCTAGTTTGTAATAAGGCCTGAGGTTTATTGTCTTTTTCTTGCCTTGTGCTAAATGTGTGCTTGGTGACTTCTCTAAAAAACCAGTTCTATCTTTTTTTAACAGCCAAAGAATTATACGAGATTGCAATGGCGAAACTCAACCGTCGGTCCCCGGATCTTCGCGCCTCCATACTACAGGTGAAGCAAGCGGCTGATGCTGGATACGTACCAGCCAAAATCAAGCTAGCCTGGTCCTACCTGTTTGGAGAAGGTGTGGAATTGGATATGGATAAGGCGAAAAATATATTTGAGGAGCTCGTGGTCGAGGGAAATGCGGATGCTCATGCTGTAAGTAGGACTATAAATATTATACGTACTCCTTCCTGTACGTATAATATTTATAGGTTTATACCACATCACGATATGACTAAACCCTTATACTTGCAATAATGACGTCGAGGTCGTCGACGTCGAGGAAGGTGAAGGCTCCCTAGAATAAACACCTTTGCTGTCAAAAAAAAAGTTTTTAAAACGTTTTTATTACGAATGTGTTATAATTTTATTATTCAATTTACCGAAAAGGGTTTTCCTTAGAGACTGGAGACGTATGCAAGGACCGTATCGTGGCGTTTTATTTGCTTGTTTTACAGCCATAGAACTCTTAAAACACGTTAGTGCGCGAACCTAATTGCGCGATGTAAGCTCAGGACTCATATTTACTTGGTCTTGTCTTCCCTAGATGGCGCTGGTGTAAATTTTTGCTATTTACTTTGTATTTAGAAAACTCTTTTTATTAGTTTCATGGAAAAGTTTGTTTGTAGGGCATGGGTTTCCTGTACGCGACGGGCATAGCCGTACCCGTGTCCCAAGCGAAGGCCCTGGTGCACTACACGTTGGGCGCGCTGGGCGACAGCGACTACGCCCAGATGGCTTTGGCCTACCGCTACTGGAGCGGCAACACTGTGCCCAGCTCCTGTCAGAAAGCCATGGACCTCTACATGAAGGTGGCTGCTAAAGGTAAATACATTTAGTACAGGCTGAGAATGTTTAGATTGAAAAAAAAATGGGCCGGTTTTTCAAAACGTGATTATTCGGGTAATAGAATTAGGTTTTTTTTTTTAAACTTCGGATAAATTGGTTTGTGGCAAGTTATTGAAAACAAATCGAACAAGTCCGAAAAACCGGTTTATTGAAAAAAAGTTGCTGAAGTCAAATTCGTTAGAAACTTTACGAGAAGACACACTTTAAATATAAATTTAATAAAATAAATAATTACATAATATTAAGTTTCTCCACAATTCGCGAAAAACCGTGCTCGATCGGTAAGAAAACATCCTAATACAATTTAAAAAATGTCATTTTATTTCGTTAAGAGTTGCCCTACAACTTCTGCAAAATTTAAAATCTCCCGAATGCATGACAGAGACGTGTTTTTCCCACCCTGTTTGATTGTTTTTCAATAACTTGCCACTAATCGATTTATCCAAAGTACTTTTTTTTACCCGAATTATCACGTTGAATAACCAGCCAGTTTTATTTTTTAAATGAAGTGTGCACTGCACAGCCTTATAATATATGATTTATCTAAACATTCCTCACTCTGCAGTGGCAAGCCAAGTGACCTTCAGTGGGGGTCCGGCCATCCAACGAACGAGGCTCATCGACGAAGCTGAAGGAGGTGGTGGAGGTGCACTGGACACTGATCTTATTGAATATTACCAGCTTTTGGCTGAAAAAGGAGATGTACAGGCTCAGGTAATGTGCCTAATTTCAATGTTATTTTATTTTTAGGGTTCCGTACCTAAAAGGTAAAAAAGGAACCCCTGTAAGATCACTTTCTTATCCGTCTGTAAGGGTGTCACCACCGATTGTCTCAGGAACGGGTAGACCTAGCAAGTTGAAATTTATACCAGATACTAAGGTCTCTGAGTCAACACGATACAAAGATATGGGCACATTTCAATTTTTGCGAAAAGTTGTAAGTGGTAAGGAGGGGGGGGGGGGGGGGAGGGCGGTCCTAGGTGGTTTGGGCTCAAAGCATGGTACTTCCACGTCTAATATAATTAAAGACAAACAACGCAGCCAATGGTAAAACCGCCGTCGGTTCATTTTAGAAATGTCGTATAAAATACTACAGTATGATTAATAACGTTTGATTTTAGCATTCTTTTTCTAAATCTCCGACTGTGATTATGGTGCGCGTTTTGTTTAGGTCTTAAAACGCTCAATTGAAAGAGAAATATTTAGAATTTTTAAAATTTCCAGGTCGGCCTCGGCCAACTGCACTTCCAAGGCGGTCGCGGAGTAACCCTCGACATTAACAAAGCCCTGCACTATTTCCAACAAGCCGCTAAAACCGGCAATGCTGTTGCCAACGCATTCCTCGGGAAGATCTACCTCGAGGGAGGCGATGGCATCAAGGCCGACAATGAGACCGCTTTGAGGTACTTCAGAAAGGCTATGGAGATGAATAATCCTGTTGGACAGAGCGGGCTTGGTATTATGTATTTGCAGGTAAATATTGTGCAATGGTTTAGGTAAATAAAATTTATAACTATATCATTCTGTATTGAGTTTTATTGTGTTACAACAGAGTTCAAGTTTGCTTGCAATAACTTAAACCCAAGCAGATTTTAACATGAGGCATTATAATTCTCTTTTATACATGGTGTTTAAAAAGTATATATTGCCAAACCAATTTTTTTTCACAATATAGCTTTTATGTTTAAATATTACCACACTCATAACTACCTATTACACGTTCTTACAATACAGATACCTTTTCCATCATATCTTTGAGCTTAGTTCTGAAGATTTACTTACTCTACAATTTTTTTACAGTATCTTAATTTATAATAAACTTTTGACGTTTTCACCTAGATATAAACGTGTTTCTTGTGTTCTAGGGTCGTGGAGTACCCAAAGACTATAATGCTGCGTTTAAATACTTCACAATGGCCGCTAATCAGGGCTGGGTAGAGGGACAACTGCATCTCGGCTTCATGTACTTTGGTGAGCGTTATTATGTTATTTTTGTAGTGGGGGTTAGTTTTTGGGTTGTTTGGTGGCAAGCTGGGGGCAAATGCATACATATATCATCATATATAATATATGCGACTGTGTGCATGCTTTATTTATAAGTAACTATACTTTTCAGGGTTGTCAAGAAGTTTTCGGTTGAGTATAGATTTTTTTGAAAAAATAAAATCATTTTTTTTACTATTTAAGATGCGACAAGTCACTAACTCTTGATAAGCTAAAGATAAGGGTCCTTCTTGCACCCAAACGAAGTTGAACTTCTCCAAATTCAAATATGTTGTGTGTGTTTCAATTTAAATAATCCGTAATTATATTATAAATGTGAGAGTGAGTTTGTTTGTTTGTAAAACTTTCACGCCTAAATCACTAAACCGATTTTGAAAATCCTTTCACCAATGGAAAGCTACATTATCAGCGAGTAACATAGGGTACGATAACCGACATACACGCGGGCGAAGCCGCGGGTAAAATCTAGTCTTATTAAAAAAAAAACAATGTATGTTTGTTTGTTTATATGATCATCATAAAATTCTGCATACATAGTGAGAGATACCACAAAGGACTTTAGTCCCTTTTATACAGAAAAAAAGGTGCTGTTCCTGTAATTTTTTTTTCAATACTTGAGTAATATAATTTTGCTGATTTAATAATACTTGATTTCCGTGTGGTGACGGATTAGGAATACGTAGTTTCATCACCCTCGTAAGAGCCGACAAAGGGAGCAAGCTATACAGGACAACAGCACTGCAAAGAGAAAGGAAATTAGACACAAAGCCTATACCAACTGTAGTAGGCTAAAATCTCCTTCCTAAGGATAGGCCTATGTCCAGCAGTGGACTACTAAAGGCTGTAGATGAATAATAAATGGAAGTCCCTAATTTTTCTTATGTCGTCTAATGCAGGAGGTATCGGCGTGCGCCGCGACTTCAAACAAGCCAACAAGTACTTCTCACTGGCGTCGCAGACGGGTCACGTGCTCGCTCTCTACCACCTCGGACAGATGCATGCTCAGGGCCTTGGAGTACTACGCTCATGTACCACAGCTGTGGAGGTATTCATAATTTTTTTATTAAAAAACCAAACTAAGAAACAAATACCCTTATTGAAATAATTTCACTGGTATGTATTAATATTAGTATGTAATGTGTGTACCACAGATTACAAATTACTACGTCTACAAAAGTACTACTGAATAACATGCTCCGACTCTATAAAGTATAATTCAGTGTGCAATCATTGTCATCTTTAACTTTGATGTGCTTTGGATGCGTGAAAAATATAGTTTTTGGTTCCGTGTTTCTATTTAAACACCTAAAAATGATCTCATATGGTTTTTTCTTATTTATGGCAAGTAAACTTTGAGTGAGTGAGTTCGTAACAGCATCAGAGCTGTTATGCTGAGCTTCGAAGCGTGGGTAGGAAGGAACGGCTATGTCATCTACCAATTGACTCAGATGCTCACCGGTCATGGTTGCTTCGGTGAGTATCTGAATCGTATCAGACGGGAGGTCACGGCAAAATGCCACCCCTGCGAATCCGACCGGGACCCAGCCCAGCATACGCTGGAGGACTGCCCTGGATGTGAGTCGCAGCGTTAAGTCCTGCTTGAACAGATCAGACGAAATCTGTCACCACCAACATGCTCGCGGCAATGCTGGGGAGTGGCGAGAGATGGGTAGCCGCGGTCGCCTTCTGCGAGGACGTTATGCTCCTCCGCTCGAAGGAGGCGGCGAAGGGGACGCGGCAGAGGTCACTAACTCCCCAATCGCCGCTTAAAGGTGCCGTCTGTGTCCACATCTTGGGGCGATGTAGCTACGGAGAACACGGGATAACAAGCTTTAATGCTATGCTTATAATATCGGAAATAGATTGTCGCTCGATGTTGTGTACATTTAAACGTCGGCCTCGATTCTATAGAACACCTTATAAGATATTACTAGATAGATTAATGAATTTTCCAGCGGTCTAACGTGTAGTATAAATACAGTCACGTCGTGGCCGGTAGGACAGCTCAGATTGAGGTATAGTGCGATAAACATCAAAGTGCTCAAAGCGAACAGAAGAGTAACCCAGTGACTTCGGGCATTATTTGAAACTGTTATTAAGTAACGATGGGATTTATTTAGAAGAGTCAGAAGGTTTTTGATTCCAAACCAACGAACCCTTTCAATTGTACGCTCATACATTTCCCATACTGGAATAAATGAAGGCATTATCACAAACCGATAGCTAAATTTCGGTTCTTCTTCTAGCTATTTAAGAACGTCTGCGAGCGCGGCGAGTGGGGCTCGCGCCTGATGCTGGGCCACGCGGCGTGGCGCGCGCGCGACTCGGACTCGGCGCTGCTGCAGTACCTGGCGCTCGCCGAGCGCGGGTACGAGCTGGCGCAGACCAACGCCGCCTTCCTGCTCGACAACGGTCAGTACACGCGTCCATGGTCACCAGGGTTGTCAGCTTTCTACTACAGATTGCATTTCACTATAATATACTGTGTAAAACATATATAGGTTTACATAATTATATCATAATGTAAATATCACAAATATATCTGGTGTGTTGTGCAGGCGAGGTGCGCATGTTCAGCGAGCGTGAGCGCTGGGCGCGTGCGCTCCAACTGTGGTCCCGTGCGGCTGCGCAGGGCTGCGGGGCCGCGCGAGTCAAGCTCGGCGACTACCACTACTACGGGCTCGGCACGCACAAGGACCTGGAAGCTGCCGCCTACCACTATAGGTAAGTTTTTATGACTAAACCATACTCGGTATCCTCTGAAAATGATTACCTTCCAATGGAGGATTGACGTCAGGTAGGCCTAAACCTCCTTACTAAGGGGCCTATGTCCAGCAGTGAACAATTAAAGGCAGTCGATGATGATGATGAGGCAGCTCCCAACCATTTTGAACAGAATTAAACATGAGAATACAATTTATTATTAAAAGCGCGATCGTAATACAGGATAGCATCGGAGCAGTTGCACGTGGCGCAGGCGACGTTCAACCTGGGCTACATGCACGAGCGCGGCCTGGGCCTGGCGCAGGACGCGCACCTGGCCAAGCGCTGCTACGACCTCGCCGCCGACACCTCGCCCGACGCGCGCCTGCCCGCCGCCCTCGCACTCGCCCGCCTCAACGCCGCCACCGCCATGCAGCAGATACTCGACGTACGTACTCACTCACTCGCACTGACACTCGCAGGCCTCAACGCCGCCACCGCCATGCAGCAGATACTCGACGTACGTACTCACTCACTCGCACTGACACTCGCCCGCCTCAACGCCGCCACCGCCATGCAGCAGATACTCGACGTACGTACTCACTCACTCGCACTGACACTCGCCCGCCTCAACGCCGCCACCGCCATGCAGCAGATACTCGACGTACGTACTCACTCGCCCGCCTCAACGCCGCCACCGCCATACAGCAGATACTCGACGTACGTACTCACTCACTCGCACTGACACTCGCCCGCCTCAACGCCGCCACCGCCATGCAGCAGATACTCGACGTACGTACTCACTCACTCGCACTGACACTCGCCCGCCTCAACGCCGCCACCGCCATGCAGCAGATACTCGACGTACGTACTCACTCACTCGCACTGACACTCGCCCGCCTCAACGCCGCCACCGCCATGCAGCAGATACTCGACGTACGTACTCACTCGCTCACTCGCACTGACACTCGCCCGCCTCAACGCCGCCACCGCCATGCAGCAGATACTCGACGTACGTACTCACTCGCTCACTCGCACTGACACTCGCCCGCCTCAACGCCGCCACCGCCATGCAGCAGATACTCGACGTACGTACTCACTCGCTCACTCGCACTGACACTCGCCCGCCTCAACGCCGCCACCGCCATGCAGCAGATACTCGACGTACGTACTCACTCGCTCACTCGCACTGACACTCGCCCGCCTCAACGCCGCCACCGCCATGCAGCAGATACTCGACGTACGTACTCACTCACTCGCACTGACACTCGCCCGCCTCAACGCCGCCACCGCCATGCAGCAGATACTCGACGTACGTACTCACTCGCTCACTCGCACTGACACTCGCCCGCCTCAACGCCGCCACCGCCATGCAGCAGATACTCGACGTACGTACTCACTCGCTCACTCGCACTGACACTCGCCCGCCTCAACGCCGCCACCGCCATGCAGCAGATACTCGACGTACGTACTCACTCGCTCACTCGCACTGACACTCGCCCGCCTCAACGCCGCCACCGCCATGCAGCAGATACTCGACGTACGTACTCACTCACTCGCACTGACACTCGCCCGCCTCAACGCCGCCACCGCCATGCAGCAGATACTCGACGTACGTACTCACTCACTCGCACTGACACTCGCCCGCCTCAACGCCGCCACCGCCATGCAGCAGATACTCGACGTACGTACTCACTCACTCGCACTGACACTCGCCCGCCTCAACGCCGCCACCGCCATGCAGCAGATACTCGACGTACGTACTCACTCGCCCGCCTCAACGCCGCCACCGCCATGCAGCAGATACTCGACGTACGTACTCACTCACTCGCACTGACACTCGCCCGCCTCAACGCCGCCACCGCCATGCAGCAGATACCCGACGTACGTACTCACTCACTCGCACTGACACTCGCCCGCCTCAACGCCGCCACCGCCATGCAGCAGATACTCGACGTACGTACTCACTCACTCGCACTGACACTCGCCCGCCTCAACGCCGCCACCGCCATGCAGCAGATACTCGACGTACGTACTCACTCGCTCACTCGCACTGACACTCGCCCGCCTCAACGCCGCCACCGCCATGCAGCAGATACTCGACGTACGTACTCACTCGCTCACTCGCACTGACACTCGCCCGCCTCAACGCCGCCACCGCCATGCAGCAGATACTCGACGTACGTACTCACTCGCTCACTCGCACTGACACTCGCCCGCCTCAACGCCGCCACCGCCATGCAGCAGATACTCGACGTACGTACTCACTCACTCGCACTGACACTCGCCCGCCGCAACGCCGCCACCGCCATGCAGCAGATACTCGACGTACGTACTCACTCACTCGCACTGACACTCGCCCGCCTCAACGCCGCCACCGCCATGCAGCAGATACTCGACGTACGTACTCACTCGCTCACTCGCACTGACACTCGCCCGCCTCAACGCCGCCACCGCCATGCAGCAGATACTCGACGTACGTACTCACTCACTCGCACTGACACTCGCCCGCCTCAACGCCGCCACCGCCATGCAGCAGATACTCGACGTACGTACTCACTCACTCGCACTGACACTCGCCCGCCTCAACGCCGCCACCGCCATGCAGCAGATACTCGACGTACGTACTCACTCGCTCACTCGCACTGACACTCGCCCGCCTCAACGCCTCCACCGCCATGCAGCAGATACTCGACGTACGTACTCACTCACTCGCACTGACACTCGCCCGCCTCAACGCCGCCACCGCCATGCAGCAGATACTCGACGTACGTACTCACTCACTCGCACTGACACTCGCCCGCCTCAACGCCGCCACCGCCATGCAGCAGATACTCGACGTACGTACTCACTCACTCGCACTGACACTCGCCCGCCTCAACGCCGCCACCGCCATGCAGCAGATACTCGACGTACGTACTCACTCGCTCACTCGCACTGACACTCGCCCGCCTCAACGCCGCCACCGCCATTTGTTTCATCTGCCATTTTCATAATTTAAGTTTATATACTTACACAACCATACTAATTAATTCTGGAAATTTAGTTGACAATATGCTGTTTTAAACAATAATAATAAATTAATCTCTGTGCCAAAGTTCAACCATCCAGACTTTCGCATTTATAATAGTGATAAGATTATTTCACGAGACACGCCACCAAAGTGTCAATAATCATCAGTCATTTTTACAGAGCCCACTGGCTGTGGTGTTCCTGACTGGCGACTCGGCGTTCCTGTCCAACTGGGACTTGTACCTCATCACCGCACTGCTGGGCGCGCTGGGCCTGGTCGTCTACCTCAGGAGGCCGACGCAGCAGGCTGCCAACTAAGTGGCGAAAGACTTTCACTGTGTTCGCACGAGACCGTTCAAAGGAGATTAATATATCGACATATGGCTATAGAAGAAACAGCACTGTGCTACAGCACTTCTACCACAAGGATTTTGTTTAGTATCATAAATTGTAACTATTTACTTTTTAAAAGTATGACCGACTTTAATGCCACTGCATCATGTCGAAACTGCTCATTCCTTAATTTTCAAAACGACTTCAAAAAAAGGGGACCTTTATGTTTCAACATGCACCATGAAGTAAAAATTCTAGATAAAATAGAAATGTATACCACAATACTAATTATATCAACTTCTTGCATATTGTTCTACTTTGATATGGTCCTGTGTAAATATGGCTTTACAATCAATTACAAGAATTGGGTATCTCACTTCTGTCCTAGTTACTGAAACGACCGAGAGCATAGAGAGAACCCGGGGTACAGCTGCCTGTAAGTGGAAGATATACAGGCAACTAGACAGATGAATGGCCGATAGTTCCCTCTGTCTCTGTTTAGCTAAGCTGCGATTGGCTATCGTGAAGTAAGCATGGTTTTGATCGTAGAACAAGCGGGAGATTCGAATTCCCCAGCCAACCATAGAGGAGATTGGCTAGAAAGAGATAGAAGGAACTATCTATTATCCATCTCTCTCGTTGCCTATATTGCAAGATTGAGGCTCTTGTTCCGAGAGGCTTGAATTACAGTGACATGGTGGACAGATAAGCGAAATAACTGTATGTTCGAGGTTGGTCGTACCCATGTCTTGTGGTTGTAGTATAGGTAATATAATTTGTGAAGAGATTGGTGATCGATGTAAAAGGTGATGTTTGTTGTAAATATTTAATAAAGTGTTATGTGATCTATTCCTGTTTTATTTATGTCATTCAAGAAGACAAAGTTCAGAATTATATTTGTGTTCCCAGTAATTAGGTATTATAACAATATAATAATAATAATTTCACACATCTCACAGATGGCTGTCTGATCCCAAATTAGACTGAACCTGTGCTTATAGTAAGGAGTCTGATAAACGTACTTATATATTATTAAATTCATACATAACCTAGATAAATTGCACTCAGATATGACATGATCGTGTTCATTATACATTTTTTTGTCCTTGGTGGGAATCGAACGCACTACTAAGCTAGAAGTTACGATCAGTAACGAAAACTACGTGGAGACAATTTTCACAACGACTGTACAATTTCTGCCTTAAAGCGAACAAGAACACTACACAGCCGAGCCCAAGTTTCAGTTAAAGTATCTTTAATAATATCACTAAAATTACTATAACAGTATAACTGTCAGCACTCGCAGATTGGATTGTCCAGAACGGAAGTCTGCCCTCTTTTTCATGAGTAGGTAACACTTTCCTCTTGTTCAAAACTGTGGGGGGTTATTCTTGTATCAAATACCACGAGGAATCTTTCTCGGGTAAGTCAAGTTAAAAAAAAAAACAAGTTTTCACATTCAATGTTTTAATATTTAGTACTTAATAAATATATAGTTTGTGGCAAACACAACATAACAGTAAATACTTAAAAATAAGCTACATAGCTCCTCTCTCTAACTGTTCGATCTTTCGCGCTATATCGTCCGCCGAATACGTGTAATCCACTAATTTATTTAAATTATCTTGTTTTATTTCATCATTTTCTCTTGTGGATTTCTGAAACAGAAATAGGATTATTTAAAATTTAGTAATTATAGAATAAGTACCATAAACATATAGAGACAGTGAACTTTAAAACTAGGAAATATTAACGTAACGTAACGTCTTCCAACAGAAAAAGAATCTTCCAAAAGTCGGGTCTCTTATTACAAAATTTTTTAAACTCGTATAGTCGTTTTTAAACTCGTAGTTTAAAAAATGAATTACAGTTAAATTATGACACTTTTGGAAAGTTAAAAAAGTTGGTTAGTTGATTTTTTGTAGAAAACTTAAATCTATATTAAAAAAATATGATTTCATGTCAGGCACAGGATTCATATATTAGGTACCTATCTATACTAATATTATAAAGCTGAAGAGTTTGTTTGTTTGTTTGTTTGTTTGTTTGTTTGAACGCGCTAATCTCAGGAACTACTGGTCCGATTTGAAAAATTCTTTTAGTGTTAGATAGCCCATTTATCGAGGAAGGCTATAGGCTATATATCATCACGCTAAGACCAATAGGAGCGGAGCACCAATGAATGTTTCAAAAACGGAAAAAAATTATTACTATTGAGAGACGCAGACGAAGTTGCGCGGGTCAGCTAGTCTATACTAATATTATAAAGCTGAAGAGTTTGTTTGTTTGTTTGAACGCGCTAATCTCGGAAACTACTGGTCCGATTTGAAAAATTATTTCAGTGTTAAATAGCCCATTTATCGAGGAAGGCTATAGGCTATATATCATCATGCTAAGACCAATAAGAGCGGAGCACCAATGAAGAATGTTTTAAAAACGGGGAAAATTTATTCCTTTTAAAAGACGCAGACGAAGTTGCGCGAGTCAGCTAGTATTAACTATATACGAAGTAAGTTTAACTGTCTACTATTTGTCACAGGACTAATGTAAAGTACACCACTTTTCTGTTAGTACATAACACTTGAATATTGGCAGCTGCAGTTACATCTGCTACTAACCCAAAATTGAGCATACTCCGGTGAAACAGCCTGCAAGTATGCAATTTTATCTTCCATGTCTTTCAGTCTTTTATAAATGTCCTTAGGCACGGGACCAATGTTGAGGTACTTTTCTATGGCCACCACACGTTCTGCTATAGACGACGGGAGACCATAAGAGTCTACGGCCTTGTCGGAGTCTTGGTGGAAGGCAGATGACGTCACTGTTTGTGGACCCCACTCGTTGTGGACTTTGCGAACTGTGAAAGAAAAACATAGTTGTTAAAAAAGACTCAAAAATTTAAATCTCATTTTATAATAAATATGAAAGTAAAAAGACTGCGTGAGACATATTACTTAATCACTAACAATAGTCACAGAATAGTACTACTATTGTTCTACTACTATTGTTCTATATCTATATGCAAACTACAATTATTTACAGAAGACTAACTTTTAAAAAACAAATAAATAGCGACTCTATGCACTATGCAGCAAGGTGCAAAATAGATACAAGTAATGAAATTTTTAAAACATTGTAAACTTAGTTTTGTGTATTTTCTTATTTATTACTAACTATTGCCCGCGGCTTCGCTTGCGTGATCATTTCTTATTTTGTGTTTTCAGCTTTTAAAATGAGGAACTACCATATAACCATTAACCCCTTATTTAACCCCTTAAGGAGTAAAATTGCCAAAAATCATCCCTTAGCGTATGCTTCAAACATAAAAAGCATCAGCTGTCAAAATTTCAAGTCTGTAGCCCCCCCTCCCTCTCCCAGCGGTTTAGGCTGTGCGTTGATGAGTCAGTCAGTCAGGCCAAGTAATTTTCTATGTATAGATTTTTAAAATTACCTTTCAAATGACCCTTAGAATCGTTCCTCCTCACGAACTGCGTTCTCACTCTTGCACACGTCTCTGTCTCTTCCACCTCCGTGTCCGCCTTACTCGGTATGAAATCATGTATGTTACTTATATTCACTTGTTCTCGCTTCCTCTCCATAAAGTTCTGTATGCGCTGTTGCAGCTCCTCGCTTGTCACGTTGATTTGAACGAGGGTTTTGTCTACAGGCGGGACCGCTTTAGTTTCTTTAAGGTGCTTCATGTCTGGTGCAGTGCCTGTTAAGATAAAGTTTGCCGAGTCAAACATATGAAAGTAAAGAGGACCCTATCATTATCTATCAACAGCCTTTAATAGTCCACTGCTGGACATAAGCCTCTCCTTGGAAAGGAGGTTTTTGCCTACTATAGCACGCTGGCCAGACGGGTTGGTATAGGGTTTGTGTCAAGTTTTCCTTCTCTCTGCAGTGCTGTTGTTCCGCGTAGTTTTTTCCCTTAGTCGGCTCTATCATTAGTGGGAACTAAACTCAGGAAAAAGAGTAATTTACGAGGTGCAATCTGGTAGGTACATGTACCACGCGCTACATCTGCTATCGCAAAACTTGTAGTTTTTTCATATGGTTTTTTTCATAGAACAGCCATTGAGGAAGGAGTACGCTCTTTTCTTGAAGGTTTGAAGGTCGTATCGGTCCGGAAATACCGCAGCCGATAACTTGTATAAAAATCAGTAATAATGGATATAAGGATACAGCAAGAAACATTCGATCTAACATTTTACACAGTATAAATGTTAACACTATTTGCTATAAGTAATCTATTTGCTATAAGTATAAGTATCATACCCGTTTTTTACGGTATAGGGAGTACACAGGTCACTAGAGGGCCTAGTGCAAGTTTATTTCACACCAACTCGCTCTCGACGGCGAGCGTCTTCGACGCTGTGATTTGTGAAGATTTCAGCATGGGCCAATCGCAGCGCCGAACGCGGTCACCGTAACGATCGTGTAGAAGTGAAATAAACTCACACTTGGGCCTCTGAAGGCCTAATGTAAGTTTATTTGAATTCTACTCGCCTTCCACGGCGAGCGCGTTTGGCGTTGTGATTGATGAAGATCAGAGACCCAAGTGCGAGTTTATGTTAGTGATACTCGATCGTCACGGTGACCACGCTCGGCGTTACGATTGGCCCGCAGTGAAATCTCTACCAATCACAACGCTTCACGCGCTCGCCATCGAGAACGAGTCGATGTGAAATAAACTTGCACTAAGCACTCCGTATGGTCTGTGGGCCAATCGCAACGCCGAACGCATTAAACGTGACGATCGAATAGTTGTGAAATAAACTCACACTAGGGCCTCAGAAGTGCCTACCGCCGCCCATGGCCACCTGCGACTCGAAGGTCACAAGTGTGTTGCCGTCCTTTGTGTTTCATCATTTTTATTCAGTCATTTTGTATTAACATACCTATGGCAAGATTTCAGAGTTTTGAAAATTGCTATGTTTGTAGAGTTTTATGTGGTGTGACACTTAATAGCAGTTTTTCGACATTATCTTCTTCTGATTTTCTTAACAATGAAAAAAAAATATAAAATAAAACTTGAGAATATTTCCTACGTATTGTATTGACAACTTTGTTGCGTATCTAGCGCCGCAAAGTGTGCTTAAACATGCGTTTTAGCTTTTCCACACCCCCTTGAGAGAGTTGTAGAATAAGTTGCGCGTTTTAGATCACAAAAAGCATGAATAGCATATTGGGTACGTTGATAGCAGTTGTGGTTGAGGAGTCGAGAGTCTCATTGCGTAGAGGAAGCAACGTCTCGACTCAAAATCGCTTCCTTTCGAATAACTTCTCATTATTGTATAGTGCTCGATATCATCGTGAACTTAACGATTTTAGTCTTTCCAAAAGTATCCTTTATTATGCTTTTGTGTAATACTTGAATTACGAAACGTCTTTAATCCTTTTTCGGTAATTTTAATTACTTCACTTTTTTGCAATGGATTCTCACTAAACAATTTACTGCATTAGACATGGCTCTATTATTGGGAACGACACAGTGAAACATTAAAAGTATACTGATGATTCAGACGAAATATTTCTATTGAGCTCGATAAGCAGATACTTCGTAGAAGAGAGAGGTCCCACCACTTGAAACCTACAAAGCATATTTGAATATTTTTCATAAATTTGTTAGCGTAGATGAATAATGCTTGGCGGCGCTTACTCAATTCAACTTTTTAGCTGAAAGTTATGTTGAGGTACACTTCGCGGCGCTCGCACGGCTAAACTAATGATCTTATAAAAACAAACATTACATAACTTGTAGCAAATGTTCTTTAATTTTGTAGTTAATTTTTTTAACGTAAAATGAGTCCAAATGGAGATATCGAACAACTGCAAATAGGCGCCATTTATCAAAGTTAGTGTGATCGCGATACTAGGTACATTGTCAGAACACGTAATGTGTTCCAGATGTTCGTATGCGTCTCATACCAAAATCATCAGTAATCTAGTTTTATTTTATATACACATCACATCAACAGCCTTTAATAGTCCACTGCTGGACATATGCCTCTCCTTAGAAAGGTTTTGGCCTACTATACCACGCTGGCCAGACGGGTTGGTATAGGGCTTCCAAGGAAGGAGGTCTACTGGTGGTCCCAGGAGTTGGCGGACCTCCGTGCGGCCTGTGTACGTGCCCGGAGGTCCCTCACCCGTAGTCGGCGACGTCACCGCGGGGTCGGTGAGGAGGTGGACCGGTTTCATGAGGAGTACCGAGAAGCTCGGAAAACTCTGAGGCTGGCCATCTGCCGCGCCAAGGATGTCAGTAGAGAGGAGATGCTGGAGAGTCTCGAGCGTGACCCCTGGGGTCGCCCTTATCGTGCGGTGCGTCAAAAGCTCCGCACGTCGGGCCCCCCCCCTTACGGAGACTCTCCAGCCCAGCTTCCTGCAGGAAGTGGTCGAGGGCCTATTCCCGCAGCGGGCGGAGCACACACCCCCGTCGATGGCTGCATCAGCCGGAGACGACGGGGGCAGCGAGGCTGATGTTCCGCCCGTCAGGGAATCGGAGTTAGGGGCGGCTGTTCTACGGATTAGATCCAAGAACACTGCCCCCGGGCCGGACGGGGTTCCAGCCCGAGTGATGGCCCGAGCCCTCGACTACATGTCGGACCACCTCAGGGGGGTGTTGGACGCTAGCCTGGCGTCCGGACGCTTCCCTGAGCGCTGGAAATGCGGGAAGCTGGTCCTGCTGCAGAAGCCGGGACGGCCTGCCGAATCGGTCGCGGCCTATAGGCCTATCGTGTTGCTGGACGAGGCGGGTAAACTTTTTGAGAGGGTGCTTTCTGCCCGCATCGTCCGGCACCTTTGCGAGGTTGGCCCCGATCTGTCGGACGCCCAATTCGGTTTCCGAGCGGGGCGTTCGACGATCGATGCCGTAATGCGCCTTAGGGCCGTGACCGAGGAGGCCGTGAGCTGCGGCGGAGTGGTGTTGGCGGTGTCCTTGGACATCGCCAACGCCTTCAATAGTCTGCCATTCAGCTGCATCAGGGAAGCGCTCCGCTACCACGGAGTGCCGGAGTACCTGAGGCGGCTGGTGGCAGACTACCTTGAGGAGCGAACCGTCATGTACGAGGACCGAGATGGCGTCTTGAGACGCAGGGCCATGTCGTGCGGTGTTCCGCAGGGGTCTGTCCTAGGACCACTCCTGTGGAACATTGGATACGACTGGGCCCTACGAGGGCGTCTCCCCCCCGGGCTGGGTGTACTCTGCTACGCAGATGACACTTTAGTCACGGCCCGGGGGGCTAACTTCCAGGAGGCGGCGCGCCTGGCCGCCACGGGAGTTTCCCAGGTGGTCGGGCGCATTGAGGCGTTGGGATTACGGGTGGCCCTGGATAAGACGGAGGCCCTATTATTTCATGGGCCCCGTCGTGGTCCACCCGCCGGCGCCTCAATCGAGGTCCGCTCGGTCCTCGTACCGGTCCGGGCCCAGATGAGGTACCTGGGTCTGGTCCTAGACGGTAGGTGGCTCTTCGACGAGCACTTCCGACAGCTTGGTCCGAAGCTGGTGGACACTGCCTCCGCCCTAGGGCGACTTTTGCCCAATTTGGGCGGGGCCAGTGTTCCCACGAGGCGGCTGTACGCGGGGGTTGTCCGGTCCATGGCGCTTTATGGTGCACCGGTGTGGGTGGCGGCTCTGACCGCCCCGAATAGGGCGCGCCTCTGGCGCCCCCAGAGGATATTGGCGGTCAGAGCCATACGCGGATACCGCACGGTGTCCACCGAGGCGGCTTGCGCCTTGGCCGGAACACCCCCGTGGGATTTGGAGGCGGAAGTGCTCGCCGAAGTTTATCGGCGAGTGGCTGACTTCCGGGCGGAGAGCGGATTTCGCCCTCCGCCCGAAGACGTGCGCGAGTGGCGCGAAGCCGCTCGCCGAGCCACCATGGTTAGATGGTCGTTCCGGCTGGAGACTCCACGCGCTGGCTTCGCCGCCGTGGAGGCTCTCCAGCCGGTCATAGCCGAGTGGGCAGGGCGGCAGCACGGGGCCCTTTCCTTCCGGCTGACGCAGGTGCTTTCCGGGCACGGTTGCTTCGGAAAGTACCTGCACTCGGTCGCTAGGAGGGAACTGAGTCCCGCCTGCCACCACTGCGACTGCAGTGAGGACTCGGCCCAGCACACGCTGGCGGTCTGTCCCGCATGGGCGACGCAGCGCCGGGCCCTCACTGCAGTCATCGGAGCAGATCTCTCGCTACCGGCCGTAATTCGCTCCATGGCCGGTAGCGACAGTTGTTTTACCGCGGTCGCAACCTTCTGCGAGGAGGTAATCTCGCAGAAGGAGGCGGCGGAGAAGGCCCGGGAGGACGACCTCCACTCGGACCTGATCCGCCGCCGGCGAACCGGGCGGCGGAGGCGCGCTTACCTGCGCCTCATGCCGCCCTGAGTGTGGCCGCGGGTGGACGGGGTGGGTTTCCCCTCCACCCGCATTAGTTGGCCAGCCGCGAGGGGGCGGCGTCCGCGTGTGCCGGACGTCGCCTAAAGAGAGGATAATTGAAGACGGAGCCCGCACCAGGAGCGGGCCGGCGCTGGGAGGGGTCCAGAAGGCGATAACTACCTGGACCCCTCCTAAACTGGAAGCGCAAAGAGGGCACACCGTGTGGTTTTAGTCGGTTCGAGTCCGACACACCACCCCGCCGCAAACCCCGGTGGGGTGACGGTCCGAGGGGATTTCCACACGTTAAAAAAAAAAAAAAAAAAAAAAGGGCTTGTGTCAAGTTT